AATGGACTGGTAGGTGAGCACAAGGGCTCAATGAGAGAGAGTTGCTAACACTGGCCCTAATTGGAGCAGTGCTTCGCATAATCTACCACCGGATCGGAATCGCGACTCACTGAGTAGATCCAGCGAGAAACTCAGTGGGTTGTGTCTATGAGCTAGTTCGCACGTCGAACTCTTTAATCAATGAATTCGAAGAAGAAGGTGACCGATTCTTGAAGAACCTAAAATATATTTACAACCGTTTCTGTTGCTCATTTCGGACAGATTAAAGTGTCGTATTTTTTAAATTAAACATTTATTTATTTTTTAAATTAAACTCTTGTTACAACATACAGAAGGTTTTCCGGATTCATCAAACGCTCCCTTTGGTGGCTTCAAACGGGTCAACATCTTATATGTCTCCAAATTACGTGCAAAGCTACGACCGCGGAGCTGTACAGCTAGGTCCCAATTTTTATCAGCCATTGCCTAAAAATTAACGAATACAAATAGTAATAAAATCTTACCCATACTTTTATCTATGAGATTACAGAAGTTACTATTTTATTACAAGAAAATGGAAAAAGGTCGTAATAATTGAAGACATGAGTGGATGAAGGGGTTGATGACAATTTTTAAGATTTTTTAGTTTTTACATTAAATGAAGGTGTTATGTGCCTATAAACCATATTAGACCTTAAAGCTCCGGGTTTAAAGGCTACTTTTAGAAATTGCATGTGATGAAGGATTTATTTACGAAGAAAAAGTACAAGTAACAAAAGTTAGTTGCCCGTTTTCTTAAAATTAACAAATTGTAGCATATCCCATTCATCCACTCATGTCTTCAATTCATAGTTAATTCTTAGTTATTTACGAGATTAAGAATATTGTTACAAGAAAAATTATCACAACTAATATGATTAATTTAATTACCTGTGAGACAGCTTTCGTTCGTCGAACGCATTCCATTAACGGCAAACGAACAGCTTGGTTACCGTCGAGCGAAACAACACATGGTTCGGTTTCCGGGGTGGCCTCCATTAAAGCCATAACCGCCTCTGCTCCCATACGACATCCCTGTAATTACAGACTTGTATATATATTTTTGTGGTTTATAATTTTTTTTATTGCCCTTGTAGGCAGACGAGCATACGGCCCACCTGATGGTGAGTGGTTACCGTCGCCCATGGACTTCAGCAATGCCAGGGGCAGAGCCAAGCCGCTGCCTACCGAAAAATTATATCTTCTTAGCATTGATTTTATTATAAAAGGCGTATCTCACAGTTTAAATTAGTTTAAAAATAAACGTTTCAAGTCTATTGCTTCGTTGTAGCTTAAAATAAGGTTAGTATCAATTTTAGTATTATTTTATTCGAATGTTACTTCAAAATTGTTAAATTAAAAAAAAAACATTGGAATTCAGACTTTTTTATTGCTTAGATAGGTGGACGAGCCATCTGGTGTTAAGCGATTACCGGAGCCCATAGACATCAACAACGTAAATGCCGCGACCCACCTTGAGACCTGAATTCTAGTGTCAGTTTTTACAGTACAACGGCTGCCCCACCTTTCAAACTGAAACGCATTACTGCATTAAAAGCATTAATCATTTTATCTAAAAACAACTAAAGCTTATGATATCTGGAATCCAACGTGTTTTGTTTTGTGTCAATCCATTAGTACTTTTGTCTTACCAAAATTCTGTCGAAGGCGGAGGGGGATCCTCCTCGTTGGACGTGACCCAACACGGTAATACGGGTATCCTGCTGCAGGTTATCAACCACCACCTTCTTCACCAACTCGGCGGTGATAGGCTTACCTTCGCGGTCGATCGCACCCTCGGCAACAATGATAATATTCAAACGTTGACCAGAACGCCTCTCCTATCGCAAAAATGTAAACATTATTTTTAGAATATTGTTTACTGACAATAAATTTAAAACTTTTAATCCACAAAATATTAATTGTGATTGTTTTAAAATAGATCATGAGAAACATGTGTTATGAAAATAATGAACCAAGTCGGTATTGGTTTTAATGGAACGCAGTCAAGTTTTATTCCATAGACCAAAGTACGTACATGTAAAAGAGATAGGGATAATTATTTCTGGCAATTGTGGCTTTATTTAATTTGACTTCAATGACAAAGTAACAAGCTTAATGAAGACCATACCAAAAACATACTATTACTAATATTGCCAATTCACCTAATAAGCAAAAAAAAAGTATTCGTTTTTTTCATTAGCTACATAATGCACTTTAGGTACATATAATACTACCTCATGATTGAATAAAAATGATAACAAATGTTTACAATGGTTTCTGTTCTACTTCCATGGACAAATCTAACAATTTCATTAACAGCATTGATTAATCATCAGTTGTGATTAATCATCACTTTTTGCATGGTTTTTTCATCATCAAAGATCTGTGTGTTGTTCATGTATATAATGTTTCAGATGTAGACCAATTGTTAATTAAGTATACGATTAATCATTATAACATGCGATTAAGATAAAAACCTTTTATGAATCATATTCATGGATGAATGCAAATTTAACTCTTCAACTCATTTTTTAATTTCATGCTTACACTCCGTAACTGATTTTCTACGTCTTATAGACTGACATTATTGATCTTTAACCTGTTAGCGGTATAAATATAACCCTTTAGTTTAGTTGACGTTATTAAATAAATAATATAAATATTTTATAGATTGAAAAGCTCATTATTGGTCCATCAAGCCACCGTACCTGTTGCAATCTTTTGCAAAGTTTTTCAACCCAATTATTGGGAACAGGGTCTTCAGGTATAAATACTTGGTCTGCCTCGCTCGCCAGAGCAGCGACAAGGGCCAAATAACTGCAAAACAAGCAGTGCCCCCAAATAGTGAAACATGCAAACAGCTCCCTTGATAGAAGAAGCAACATAATAATTTTGGACAAACAATTTAGACTTTGGACAAACAAGTTGTATTCTCAAATGGAATCTGCCAATTCAAGAAGATGGAAATAAGTGATCTTGCTCCCACATAAAAAAAGAATAATGATCTTGCCTCAACTAGCTTTGCACACAGTTTTTTTTTCCAATTGAAGGGTGCTGGATCTTCGCTAATAAAGCTATAAGTAGCATCTGTACAAAGGGCTGTGTAAACTGCAAGAAAACTAAAAGAGAAATAGAATTACTGAATGAAATGAAGACAATGCTTTAGGATTCAGGGTCCAACCCAAAAGGGGCGAAATTATTTTTGGCCTTGCCTGTTCAAGCTTATCACAAAGTTTATCTTTCCAGTCAACTGAAGGTGGTGCTTCCGGAATGAAAACAAAATCCGCTTCAGATGCCAAGGCTGTAACCACAGCAAGATATCTAAATGAACAAAAATTTATTANAATTACTGAATGAAATGAAGACAATGCTTTAGGATTCAGGGTCCAACCCAAAAGGGGCGAAATTATTTTTGGCCTTGCCTGTTCAAGCTTATCACAAAGTTTATCTTTCCAGTCAACTGAAGGTGGTGCTTCCGGAATGAAAACAAAATCCGCTTCAGATGCCAAGGCTGTAACCACAGCAAGATATCTAAATGAACAAAAATTTATTACAACTTGAAATTTGTTCTGAATTGGCATGTATCCATTTGAACCAAAATAGCTACAGCTAACTTTTTAAATATATTGATTGTAAAGAAACATCTACAGAGACCGCACAACTTTAACATGAATAGAAAACAATATTAATTTATTATTTTATGAGGCTTATTAAGCTTCAGATGCAATGGGCTTTGCATGAGAATACTGCAGCTGCTAAAGGCATTGACCACTTCCTTTTGCACTGTGTTTAAGTTATCAGTTTTTTTTCGTACTTTTTTCTTTGGTTTAGTATTAGATGCGTACTGTACGTGTAGCCAATGAAATTGCTCTTCTGTATTGAAAAAGTGGAACGAAATTCTTTTTGGAAATAATAAATATGGCACTAGGCCACTATAGTTATTCATGCACATCCATCACTTTATAGGAAGCTCATTGATTCTTTTCTAGTGGTTTTTGATTGTCTCTTGTATCACTTAAGTATTATCCCAACCACTTCTGCCTGAATTTGGCAACTGATTGTATGTTATTCAAATTAGAATAATGGTCTTAAATTCGATAATATTGCACGATTTTAACTTTTCATAGCCTATCCAGAACAATGTTAGAACAAAATAAAATCAACTTAAACATTTGAAAAGGTGGTCGCTTCTGAAAAGGATGTCTCAAAAAGCTGTAGTGAAGGAGAGGATTCACTCATGTCAAACCAGCATCTGGATCATTAGTTCTTTATATCATGGATCTCCTATTGATATACATTGAAATTAAAGAAAGTCAAGTATTCATTCATTTGTGTTCAAGTTTTTTTTTTTCAATTATTGTATTATAGTAGATTTGTTTTTCTAAACTTAATTTTATGTCTATATCAGATCTCTCTATTCATTCCCTTACATCTAATATTGTATCTGTTATTTTAAGACCTTTCTATGATTGACCATTTGACACAATATTTGATTAAAACTAATCAAAATAATTTTAATAAATGTATATTCTTACCCGCAGTTGCGACCCATGACCTCCATAATAAATGTTCTTTGATGTGAATAAGCAGTGCTTACAATTGCATCAATAGCTTCAATGATTCTATGCAAGGCTGAATCAGTACCTATTGTCATGTCTGTACCACAAAAATCATTGTCAATTGAACCAACCTGGAATTTAAAAACATATGTCTGATATGATATTGCTTTTATATAATTACTCATACAATAGGAAATTATGGTACACAAAATGTAATAATATGTGGGAACCAATGCCAATTTCAAGACTTCCTAACAAGATGTATTATCCAAGATGTTCCTGTACATTCACTGACTTTTAAGGCTGTATTAGCAAATGTAGTATTAAAAATAATTTTTAAAAAACTTTAAAAAGATTATTTTTTTAATGTAGGAATCTACAATCCCAATATTCGCCTCTATTTCTTATTGCGCAAAAGTTTAGGCTTAGATTACACAATAATCTTAAAGAACTAGAATATTATTCCAATTAAAACAATAACATAAAATACTAATTAAGATAACAACCGACTAGACTTTACAGATGATGTTAAAGGTAGAGAAGCCTATTCTTGATTATAACAGTAAATATTATTTTAATAAAAGAAAATTACATATTTTTATATTTATAAAATAATTGATGATATCCATTTACCATTCCAGCTATGTGCAAAAATTTATATTTTTCCCTTTGATCTTTAGTAATTTTGTTGTTCTCCAGCAATTCATCAAGAAGGCTAGACCATTCTTGTCGGAACAAATTGGCACCAGTCAGCGAACCATCACCACCAATAACCACAAGATTGGTTATACCACGGCTCACTAAGTTATATGCGGCTTTGAGACGACCTTCTTTTTTACTGAAATATATTGAAAACATTTTATTGTACACTATTTTCGATACTAAATTTAAATTTCAATTTTGGTACACAAACAACCCTTTATATAAGAAAGAAAAAAAAACAAGCAATAAACGTGTAAAACTACAACTTACATGAACTCCATGCACCTAGCTGATCCAATTATAGTGCCTCCTTTGTGAATTATAGAGCTAACAGAAGACCAGTTCGCTTCTTCAATGTTATCACCTCCATCTACCATGCCCTGGTATCCTTCACGAATAAAATATACTTTACACCCTAAGTATATGCCCATACGCACGACTGATCGCACAGCGGCATTCATTCCCTGAGAATCTCCACCGCTAGTAAACACAGCAAGCCCCTTGCCTTTATGAGAGCCGCGGCCAATAAATTTCTGAGTAGCTGACCCGTCCATCGTGGTAATCAAAATATTGTAGTCCTCAATAATAAATAGCTAATTTAGATTGTTTTTAGTTTTTCAATATTATGTAATCACTGCGGAATAAGTATTATTATGATTAAGCGATATACATTTGTGTAAATATATAAGTTCTTTTTATTTAAATTTTACGTACCGCTTCTCATCCAGATTGAAAAAATTCAAATCTTGTTCTTGCCCAAGGTGACCTTTGTTGGATGACAAAGGTTGATTGACATTTTTTGATGTCAAAATTTAGTGTAAACAGCTGTTACTTTAGTCGATGTTCTTGTTTGGCACAATCTTTAGTCAACATGTGGTCCTAAGTCCACCATCAAGTTCAAAGGCTCTTGCTTTTGATTCTTGACTCTTGTCAATAAGCATCGCAGTTCTATCCAGTCTGTACAAGATAGAATATTGCTTCAAAACAGAGCTTGTGGACTTCATTAGTATTTCTATGCGGATCCTTCTGGAAATGTTACTTTGCTTGAGTTCATCTTTTTTTGTATTGTAGCAAAACAGCTACCAATGTTTTCTCTTATAATCGATTTCAAATAAGGGGGATGTTCTCAGATTATTTTTTAACTGTAAACGCTACCACAAAACGTTTCGCTAGGTGAACCGATTTTAATGATACTTTAAACTGTTAAGATACTTTTTTATTTAAAATCTAATGATTTTTATGTGGTTCCATTTAAATTTTACCAATATCTAACCGGATGTTTTTAAGTTATGCTTAATAATACATATTTAACTGACTTCGACTATATTGATAACTAGCTTTTGCCCGTGACTTCGTCCGCGTGGAAGTTACTTTGGGCCACATTGGGGTAACGCAAAATTTTACCCGCGACTTCATGTACGTTGAAGATGAAAATATTTTTGAATAATAGAATGTTAATGAGCTATTTAAGGTACCAAAATCACGCTTTTTAACCTACTTCAAAAGAGATATATATAAAGGTTATATTGAGCCAACCTTAAAATATAGACATATGCTGTCGCGGACTTTCTTGTTAGGACTTTTAAAAGGGAACAATTTTGTACTACATTATTTGAGCGAAACCAGTGTGACCAGATTTAGCAGAATTCTGCGGTTTTAGCAGAATTAGACCCCTAATTTAAGGTCTAGCAGATTGTGTTGCAGATCTGAAAATAATGAATTTTTTGGCTGAATCTCATAAAACCTTCGCAGAATTGTAGCAGGATTTGACATCTAACTGTGTTTCACAATTCACATTTAGTCATTAGTGTAGTTGTGCTAAGAATATTGGAGTGATTTTACCTTTGTCAAAACAATGGCAGGTTTTTCTTCCAACACTGGCAGCACTCAAGCACATTTTAGGGGAATCCCCTTTAAATGTTTAGCTTTGATGTTGTGTGTAGTGTTCAATGAACACTGTTCATGTCCTAAATAGTCGTTGACCGTCGTCAGTCGTCACTCAGTTATGTAATACTCGTAATTTGCAATTTCTAAATCCACAAAACGGTGTTTACAAAGAATTCACAAGTTTGGCCAGAACTGTTTCTAAATTTTCTAATTTGGTTAAAGAATCTAACATACAAGCAATTGACTCAGAATATCGGGAGGTCAAATTAGACAAAACAGTGGCCAATCTGTTAGAATCCGGAGGAAGTTCTAATTCCACACCTATGAGTTTGAACACAAAAATGTTTTGGAGCCACATTTCAAAAATTACGAAAGCTGATAGAACTAAGAAAATATCTTGGTTGATTTTGCAAAGGCCATAATGATTTTGCCAGCTCGTGTGCGCCTATTTTCTCAAATAAGCAACATAAAAAACGATTTGCGGAACAAATTTAAAAATGAACATAATGCCGCAATTCTACATGTCAAACAGACAGTTAATAACAAGGTGGATGCATCAATTTTACACCGTCAAAGATTATGGTAAAGGCAGCACAGCTCGACAGTTCTATAATAAAACACGGACGCCACAGAAATTTTGAAGTTATAATTGGTTAATAAATATTAGAAATTGCCTTTCTTTGTTATTTTAAATCCTCATAAAAATTATCTTTATCCCTTAGCAGAATTTTGGAATTATTTACAAAAACAAAGCAGATTTTAGCAGAATTTATACGAATAACTGGCATAATGTTCGATTTAAATCTGGTCACACTGAGCGAAACTTTAACCGTTTCCACAGCGCACGCAGCGGAAGCCCTCAAAAGAAAAAAGAAACCGTTTTTTAAACATACTTTGTTAGTGCTCCGCTCGAATTGGTCTTAGCGTGATGTTATTTAACCTATAGTTTTCATCAATAATTGGCTATCTAACACTGAAAGACTTGTTCAAATCGGACCAGGAGTTCCTGAGATTAGGGTGTTCAACCAAACAAACATACAAACAAACTCTTCATTTTTGTCAAATACCAACATGATCTAAACTGAATTTTACTGCTGTTTTTTTCGAGTGTTTGAACGTATTAAATGTATTGCAAAGAAGTTTGTAGAGCCTAGCTTAAAGACTAGTTCTAGTTGAAGTCAAAGGTACTAAGTGCTTAATAAAAATTCTGTCAATGAGCGACAATGATTCGATAAATCCTACTTATCACCAAGCTGAACAGATTGAACCCAAGGGTAGTAGATTTCAGGGGCTAGAAGCTTCAAAGCCCTATGGTTAAATTGTATTTCGTTTTGACGATAGATCACTGGCAAGCTCAACGTTTTGCAGCAGGATACCCTTTTATACTAATATTTGGAGGTCGGACCGGTTGATTACATTTTGCATGAACGTTGTCAGACCAAAGAAGAACCTGGTGGGATCCGTTATCAACCAATTTAAAGTACTATTTCCAAGGAATATCACAAAATTAATTGACGTAATGTTTCTCTCTGTATTAGATTTACTTATTGGGACAAATACCAAAATACAAAAATCTGGAGTGCTTATGTTCAGAGCACACTAGTTATTCCTTGCGCAGAATCATAAATAATACGATTGTTATATAAAACGCAGTGTTAAGTAAAGTACATTATATGGATATATACCTAGACTAGTAATTACAGTCTTTAAATCGCAGTTAGCAAAAATAAAATAGATAGGGAGTAGTAAAGACTTGCTTACTTGCTTGATTGACTTGTATAGCCTGTGGTTTTACACAAAACAGGAAATGCTTATAGTACCTAATTTTACTGTACATAACTATTTTAATATTAAAACATCTAGAATAATGAAGTCAAACCGCTATTAATATTAAACCTTAGATCATTAATTTATGGTCTAACACAAAATTTTATTTGTGAAAAAAAATCAGGTACCTACTTGAGAATAATTAGTTTGTTTGTATCTAGTTCCTTATAAAGTATTGTTCATCATTTTGACAAGTGGAAGATCAATTCAATTCGTAATTCGTAGAGTGTACTTGTATGATACAAATACGAATACATACTATATATAGTGTGTTATAGTGTTTTTAAAGGTAGAAGACCAAAACACATTATTTCGTAGTAAAAAAACATCGTAAGAACCAAACTACAAAATGTCTGCGGAGTCTGATANAGTTCCTTAAAAAGTATTGTTCATCATTTTGACAAGTGGAAGATCAATTCAATTCGTAATTCGTAGAGTGTACTTGTATGATACAAATACGAATACATACTATATATAGTGTGTTATAGTGTTTTTAAAGGTAGAAGACCAAAACACATTATTTCGTAGTAAAAAAACATCGTAAGAACCAAACTACAAAATGTCTGCGGAGTCTGATATGGAATATTCTGACAATGACGGCGATGATTATGATTACTACGGTGAACACGAAGATTGTGATATGGAAGTAGCCGATCGCACTAAGTCAGATCCTGAGTATTTTGTGTTTTCTTGTCTGAAAGTTGAAGAAGTGGAAAAATTACTCAACGAATCTATTGAATTACTTAGTAACAGCCTTCAGATAACACCATCACTCGCCAAGGTATTCCCAATTTCAGTGTAAAGCATTCTTTACATATATAAAACGAGAATAATTGTTACTCATCATGTACACAAAGTCATAGTTCATAAAGTGGTTATTTTCACTACCAAACCAACCTTGACAATTGAACGAATATTAGACCACATTATATTATACCCCCTGCTGTGATTTTATTGCGTAGGTACCTTGAAAATTTCCTAAAGTTACTGATTTTGATTAATCCATTTTAAGGGTTTCTATGATACAAAATTGTAACAAATATGCTGATTTTCAGGTAGCACTACATGCATATGAATGGAATGCTCAAGAAATAATTAACAAATATAAAGAAAATGCAAATGAAGTGTTGGTTTTCAGTAGGGTGAAGCCACAAGTGCCTTCACAAAGTATATCAAGCAGATCAAGTTGTGCTGTTTGTGCTAGCACACCTCAACTGCACAAGTATAGTGCACTAGCATGTGGACATTATTTTTGCAACGACTGTTGGGCAATGCATTTTGAAGTTCAAATAATGCAAGGTGAGTTTTAAGATATAGCTAAAATCTGTTTTAAAATGTTTATTTTTAAGGGATTGTAGAGGATAGCAATCCTAGAACATAACATATTTGACAGATGCCTGAATCTTACTTACAAAATTTTCAAGAAAATCTTACTTAACCACGCTTGAAAGGCAAATGTGACTAAGCGACAATGCGTGAACTTTACAGTAGACTAATTTAAAGTTGAAATACCTCAAAACAAAATTTATTTTAACGAATCTAGCTAGTAGCTGTAGGATTGAAATGATTTTAATAGACCTAGAGATATATTTTTTTTGCGCATCGAATATGGTTATTGCCTATCATTTATGTACAAAGCAGTTAATGTCGCTTAGTCATGTTTGCCTTTCAAGCATCAATATGTACAAATTCTAGACAATAATATTTTGACTGACGGTCTACTGGATAATTTCACCTACTTTATGCAAGATCATCCTTATGTCATTCATTTCAAAGAATGTTGCAGTGTTACAAATGACATCTAATTTTATAGTACTTGGGATTTTTAAATAATAAACGAAAAATATAAAATAACTAATTTTTTTGTACTCCATTTTAAATTTTAGGAGTCTCAAATACAATACGCTGCATGGCTCAAAACTGTGAGGTCAGAGCGCCAGAGGATTTTGTTCTGTCACATGTTACTAAACCAGCATTAAGGGACCGATACCAACAATTCATGTTTAAAGATCATGTTAAATCTCACCCACAACTTAGATTCTGCCCTGGTCCTAACTGTCAGGTTTGTTCCATTATTTTATTGAAATCATTGGAATTTTGTGGACAACATTTTTTTATAAATCTAATTTTTTGGACTACGTATCTCATTGATTAATTGGAATGATAAAAAGTAATCCAAAATTAATACAAAAAAACCTTCTAATAATGTAAAACAATACAAGTACTCAAAATCACAAATTACAATACAGTTTTTATATTATTAATATTATATAATAACTATTATCATAGCTTTGAGCATTTTATAATACAAAACAATAAAAATCTAACTTGCTTTCTATTTTTAGTATCCTAATTGAAATGAATTTGGCCCAAGAAAGATTGAAATAAAAAAAAAATTAATGAATATCTCTCAACAAAAATAATACAATAAAACATTTGATTTTTACATTTAGTGGATTTTTCGAGCATTCATTCGTGAAGGAGCACGCCGTGTTGAATGCAAAGGTTGTGAATCATTGACATGCTTCTCATGCGGGGCTCCTCATCATGCTCCTACTGACTGTGCTACAATTCGACAATGGTTAACCAAATGTGCTGATGACTCTGAAACTGCAAACTATATTAGTGCCCACACTAAGGTATGGAAATTTTAGAGATTAAGCAAGAGATTAAGAAAATTTGCCATATGCAAATAATATTTGACTAACTGAGTACTTCCAGACACCAGCGGTTTCTGTTTGAGTTCATACAAAAGAAGACTTCAATTGATATTTATGTTCTCATATAGGTATAGCTTGAAATCTCTAGTTTTTTATTATCAGGTAGGGTGTGTTGTAAGCTCGTATGAGTATGTAACATCATGCTGCATATTTCTGCAATGAAACAATTATGCGTTCCAGTTTGAATGGAATAGTCAAAATAGAAAACAATTGACACTTTGACCTTTTGTATCCATGCATCCATCCTATGTTGGGTAGCAGAATATACATTGTGTAGTGTTAATGGACTTTGTAAAGCATTTATCTCTAGATGGGCCAAGAACTCTGATCTATCCATGCAATAAAATATAACAGAACTTTGTAGTATCCTTAGCAGTGCTGAAATTCATCAGCTTATTGATTACTAAGAATAAGGAAATGTGCTTAAATAAATCATTACTATGTTTAGGATTGTCCTAAATGTCAAATTTGCATTGAGAAAAATGGGGGGTGCAATCATATGCAGTGCGGATCGTGCAGACATGATTTCTGTTGGGTTTGTTTGGGAGATTGGAAAGCTCATGGATCTGAATACTATGAATGTAGTCGGTATAAGGAAGACCCAAATTTGACTACTGATAGCCAACATGCTCAGGTAAGCAATTTATTTGACAGTTAATGGTTTTTTGGGAATAATAAAGATTTTTAAAACTTAAATTTTGAAAACATTGGAGAAATGATCTATTACTTTTCATACTAGTTCATGGAAGAAGCTGGAACCAAAAAGTTTTTTAAATAATGCATAGAACTTTGATAAATTAAAAATATTTCTAAAAAAAGAAGCCAGACCAATATGCATAAATTTACATTTTTTTTTTATTGCTTAGATGGGTGGACGAGCTCACAGCCCACCTGATGTTAAGTGGTTACTGGAGCCCTTAGACATCCACAACGCAAATGCGCCACCCACCTTGAGATATAAGTTCTAAGGTCTCAAGTATAGCTACAACGGCTGCCCCACCCTTCAAACTTACAGATAATTTGTAAAAATATTGTTGCACATAAATTCTAATACCTCTCCGTTCCTCCAATGAAATTATAATTATAATACATAAGATGATATAATTATGTATGTTTGGCATAGTATTTGAAATATTTAGAGAAGGTATCAATAAACGTTTTTATTACAGGCACGTGAAGCCTTGAAGAAATATTTGCATTATTATGAAAGATGGGAAAATCATGCTCGATCTCTGAAGTTAGAAGAGCAGACATTGGAAAGTCTTAAAAGCAGAATAAACGAAAAGGTTTGCATCTTTACCGAATTTTTCTTGGCTTAGATAATCATAGCAAAGAAGAAAAACTGAATACTGTTTTGTGCTGAAAACTACTATATTGTGGTGTAGTAGTTAAGATACAGGATTTAACGCCTTCAAGACTTGTAATGTAACCAGACAATGCTTTTATCCAAACTTAATTTGGTTCACAGCAACATCATGTAGCCCTATAGTGTATGTATATTTTTATATGAAACTGTTAGTACACATAAATACTAGCACAAAAGACGACTGACACGTATTTGTACCATCACCACCACCAATTCCTAAATATTTTTTGTCATTTAGAAGTCGTCGTGGCCTAAAGGATTAAACGTCCGGTGCATTTGTATGAAGCGATGCACCGGTGTTCGAATCCCGCAGGCGGGTACCAATTTTTCTAATGAAATACGTACTCAACAAATGTTAACGAATGATTTCCGCGGTGAAGGAATAACATCGTGTAATAAAAATGAAACTAGCAAAATTATAATTTGCGTAATTACTGGTGGTAGGACCTCTTGGGAGTCCACACGGGTAGGTACCACCACCCCGCCTATTTCCGCTGTGAAGCAGTAATGCGTTTCGGTTTCGAAGGGTGGGGTAACCGTTGTAACTATACTGAGACCTTAGAACTTATATCTCGAGGTGGGTGGCGCATTTACGTTGTAGATGTCTATGGGTTCCAGTAACCACTTAACACCAGGTGGGCTGTGAGCTCGTCCATCCATCTAAGCAATAAAAAAATAATAATAAATTCTAATGTTCTAAAAAAGTCTAAATATTTTTATCTTAAATAAATAATCTTCTAATATATAATAAAAAAAATATTCAAAGGGTTAAGTCAAATAAAAGACACACATTATAAGCATTTTTCTTCTACAGGTTATGGCTGGGGAAGGTACATGGATTGATTGGCAATATCTTTGGGATGCTGCTAAACTTCTCAAGCGCTGTAGATATACTCTTCAATATACCTATCCTTATGCATACTACATGGAGGTTGGTCCTAGAAAAGAATTATTTGAATATCAGCAGGTTTGTTTGTTATCTTCACTGGTCATGTAACACTAATATTATTCCTGGTAGGCTCTATCTTTTTCTCTAGATTGAAACTCATAAGTTTGTTGTAGTAATAAATAATAGCAGTATTAGCCTTTACAAGGTAAAGGCACTAGACATGTATTGGGAGAACGACGTAATAATTTAGTAGAGGATACTACCACAGCGGTTAGAAAAGTGTATCTTGATTAATAATAATAATGACGGTTACAGTTACTATCATGTCTGCACTCAAGCTGTGACCTTATCTGGTATACTCCTTTAACATTTAGGACATTGAGGACAACAAACAGTCATAAACTAAGTTTACTTTAGAATGTGTGACTTAAATATTTACACAGCCAATATGATGATCCTTAAATAAACAATATTGTATAGTTACCCAGTCCATCTCTTCATGTGCACCAAAAGACTGCTGACATTTTCTAGAATAACATTTTGTCAGACATCATTTTGTTACCACAGCGCTCTGGCTTGTTAAATACATAATAATAAAAACTAATGTTATATTAAAATCCGTGAATAATTTCTATTTTCTATGGTTGAGCTCTTTACAGAGCTTCAAAGACTGGAAGTAGAGAATAATAACACAAATGACTACATTCTATAGCTTGTAATAAAAATGTTTGAAAATTTCAATATTTTATAAAGTTATTCTGAAGTCATGGTTTTGTGGTCATGTACATGTTCAATGTACTCCTAACGAGTAATAATATGCCTATTGAAATTTTGCAGGCATTTGAGACTGACTTCATATCTCAAGATAGGTGGTCATTTGTATTTTAAAATGTCTCTCACACTACAAACTGGAATGTATTACTGCCACAAAAATAGGTTTGATAGTGGTATACATATATTGTTGTGATCCCGGTCATCGTTCCCGTCGAACCCGTCGCTTGCGACGAAGGGCTTGACCAGTAAATTAACCCTCAGACAGCCCACTAAGTTTCTCGCCCGATCTTCTCAGTGGGTCGCGTTTCCCATCCGGTGGTAGATTCTGCGAAGCACGGCTCTTGTTAGGTTTCGTGTTAGAAACGTCGTCAGGTTTGAGCCCCGTGAGCTCACGTACTAGTTAAGATTACGCTGATATAGCCTCTCGAGGCTTTTAGCTTAAGTAGGGAAAAAAAGCTGTGATTATACAAATAAAATATATATTTTTTGTATTAGTTCATTTTGTTTTATATTTCGTGTTCATTTTACAGGCTCAACTTGAAGCTGAGATAGAGAATTTGTCATGGAAGATTGAAAGGGCTGAAACAACCCATAGGGGTGACTTGGAAAATCAAATGGATATAGCAGAAAAAAGGCGGACAACACTACTAAAAGATTTTCTAGAATTTAGTTCAAAGTCAAATAATAGTAGTAAAGTTTAAATATTTGGAACAAAATTGTATTTGCAAGCACATATATATGATTAAGTCAAGATCGAAGTTTTTTTGCCAAAGTGTACCTATTTATTTAAAATAATAAACATTACATAAATAATAAAATTGCTCATTCAACATTTTTATTTACTGAAAATTAATTTGTTAAATCTTAATATTATTTAAATTATTGAGAACTATTTTTAAAACTTTAATGCCGCATTACTGATCTTGTTATATATTATTTTAATATGTTTTTAGTGTCATAAATTTAGTTTTTATGGCCCGTCAGTTCATATTTCTCTTTTGAGTATTTTTCTTTTGACCTGAATGAATGAATGAATGAATATGAATACCTTCGATGCACAATATCACTTCTGCATCTTAGTATCACTAAATAGACAAAGACTCCGTTCTCACAGGAGCCCTCTTTAATATCGTGAAAGTGTTCGACAAAATATGGCACAACTGTTTAAATACCTACTACAACATGGGAGTGCCAGTAAGTAGTGTGCTCATCATAGTTCTCATCGAACTTGTCAACGAGAGTGGTGAAGAGTTCGACATGCAACCTAGCCCATAGACACAACCCAATGAGTTTCTAGTCGGATCTCGTCACTGGGTCGCGACTCCGATCCGATGGTAGATTCTGTGATGCACTACCCTTGCTAGGGCTAGTGTTATCAAATTCAGGTTGAGTCCGTAAGCTCACCTACCTCTTCGCGTGTACTTGGAATAGTCCTGTAGGCTACCAGCCAATAAGTAGGTACAAGAAATCGAAAAATATGCCTACTTACACAAGGGATTTTTTGGCGGGAACGTGAGGAGTAAAGTTGTGTGAATTCTTTTATTTTGTCTATTTAGTGTTTCTTCAGGTTTAAATGTTTAGTGACGGTGGTTTATTAACTATTTAGTATCTGTGAAAGTGCACAAATGTGGGAAAATAAAACAAAGCGGCTGGACGTAACATCTCGGGATCCTACAAAAAGTCCACTGCCAAAGTATTTTATTTAAAAATATTATAAACAAAATTACTAGTCTGCAATCTTTGACTTTTTTTTCGCCTAAATTAATCTGTGGCACCCACGAAGCAGTCGATGGCCATTNCACATGTCTAATGGCCATTCGAAAAGTTAAAAATCTCAGTACTTATTATTTTTACGCTTATTGCTTCTTCAGGCATAAAAGGTCATGTCTATTTTTGCCGACAAGCAGTCATGTGTTCCAGTTTGACGGATGGAACAATCATAACATAATGATAATTGAGATTTCAACCGCATGTCTCAAGGTGGGATTTTTTATTGTCATTTTAGGTATACTGCGGCGTGCGGCCAAATTGTTGGTAAGAAATCACCGTCGCCCATGGACACCAAAAATACCACGGGGACAGCCAAGTCCAAAAAAATTATCGAAGCACACTGTGAATGAAAGTGTGGATGAACTACACTCCGGTGGCTGGTCATCTCAAAAAATACTCAGAGCATTTCACATGGAACATACCGTACAAAACAGAAAAATTCCGATGAGCCTCCGTAAGCCCAGAGATTCCAAATAGAGTTGCATTCATGTTTTGATGTTTATGTGGATTCTGGTAACTACATAAAAGCGAATGAGCCATGAGCTGCATGAGCATGAGCTGCAAAGCCAAAATTTCTGCAATGGGTTAAAACCAGAATTGCTATTTAGCTCTTTTATAATTCCACTGTCTTAAATCGTGCTTAGTAGACTTAAATTCATTTTTATTACGTCTAGTTTAAAGTGATTGCCATTAAAATGAAATAGTGATTTTAAGCCCAGAGTGTCTTGTGGAAAACTTGACCTCATAATGCACTAAAATTGCGATTGCATGGGTAGTTTTCCAATTACAGAGCCTAATGTGACTCAGTGGCACACAATGCCGTATTATGCTGAAGCTTATTTGGAACGTGAATTAGTTTCCAAATGCATCAGCAGAGTGCGCTAAAAGGTTTATTACACTTGGCTAAATTTAGTCGACTGAATTCAGAAGCAAATTTAGAAGCTTCTGATTACACTGTTCCAAATTCAGTTACTGAATCAATAGTTAATTTAAACGCGACGATGTAGGACGTGTCGTGTGTGTAAGAAGATGGCCCCAGTATTGTCTNAGCAGTAGATGCATTGTTTCGGCGCGATATCCTCAAAGTGCATCCAAGGAGGACTGTACTTTCATTTAGACGCCGTTATTTCTTTCACTTATTAAACACGCATTAAAACAAATAATAAAACTATCTTCAAACAAGTGCTTAAGTAATTCAAATCAAACACAAAAATTAATATGAAATATTACTAAACAATTACGAGCGACTAGCGATTTTACAAAAGTTGCGAATAAAAAATTAAGTAACTACTTGCGGGGAACTACCGGCTGGCCGCATGAAAAATATAAACACAAATACCTATATTAAAATTCAGACGTACCATAGGTATAAAAATGTACCTAGCGGCCAGGGCATACGGTTCAAAATCACTAGGAATAATTCCGTGTCTCTTGCTCATTTATTTTGCGTCGATCGGTCTGTCTCGCTCGCTCGGTTCCGTTCGTGTATTAAGGAACATTACACGACAAAGAAAGAAACATGTTGGGTGATAGTGTGATGTTTGTTTCCTTCGCGTAATGTGTGATGTTGCATTACATCGTAGGGTAATATTACCCGAGTAATATCACTCGCATTACTTACACATGTCTAATGGCCATTCGAAAAGTTAAAAATCTCAGTACTTATTATTTTTACGCTTATTGCTTCTTCAGGCATAAAAGGTCATGTCTATTTTTGCCGACAAGCAGTCATGTGTTCCAGTTTGACGGATGGAACAATCATAACATAATGATAATTGAGATTTCAACCGCATGTCTCAAGGTGGGATTTTTTATTGTCATTTTAGGTATACTGCGGCGTGCGGCCAAATTGTTGGTAAGAAATCACCGTCGCCCATGGACACCAAAAATACCACGGGGACAGCCAAGTCCAAAAAAATTATCGAAGCACACTGTGAATGAAAGTGTGGATGAACTACACTCCGGTGGCTGGTCATCTCAAAAAATACTCAGAGCATTTCACATGGAACATACCGTACAAAACAGAAAAATTCCGATGAGCCTCCGTAAGCCCAGAGATTCCAAATAGAGTTGCATTCATGTTTTGATGTTTATGTGGATTCTGGTAACTACATAAAAGCGAATGAGCCATGAGCTGCATGAGCATGAGCTGCAAAGCCAAAATTTCTGCAATGGGTTAAAACCAGAATTGCTATTTAGCTCTTTTATAATTCCACTGTCTTAAATCGTGCTTAGTAGACTTAAATTCATTTTTATTACGTCTAGTTTAAAGTGATTGCCATTAAAATGAAATAGTGATTTTAAGCCCAGAGTGTCTTGTGGAAAACTTGAACTCATAATGCACTAAAATTGCGATTGCATGGGTAGTTTTCCAATTACAGAGCCTAATGTGACTCAGTGGCACACAATGCCGTATTATGCTGAAGCTTATTTGGAACGTGAATTAGTTTCCAAATGCATCAGCAGAGTGCGCTAAAAGGTTTATTACACTTGGCTAAATTTAGTCGACTGAATTCAGAAGCAAATTTAGAAGCTTCTGATTACACTGTTCCAAATTCAGTTACTGAATCAATAGTTAATTTAAACGCGACGATGTAGGACGTGTCGTGTGTGTAAGAAGATGGCCCCAGTATTGTCTAGACAACAAAAAAATGGTCTTGGTGTAGCCCTAGCTGTCGGCTCAATTGAAACAAAAAGAAGAAAAAGAAGAATACGGGTAAAGAAATATTTATTGCTGCGCGGAAAGTTAGCAAATATGAAGATTATGAGTGATTTAGAACCAGCAGACTTCAGAAATTATTCACGAATGGATTCGAGATCGTTTGACCTAATATTAAACCTTGTGACACCGTTTATTCAAAAGCAGGATACTATTCTACGAGATAGTATAAGTCCAAAAGAAAGATTGGTTAACATTAGGATTTCTTGCAACAGGAAGTTCGTATCAAGATTTAAAATTTAGTTTTTTAATATCCCAACCCCTGCTGACAAAAATTGTCCCTGAAACATGTCGGGCTATTTAAAAATGTCTGGCACATTAAATAAAGGTGACTGAAATAAATACATTTTTTATTCGGAAGTAAAAAACAAACTAAAACGTCCTCACGCACGGAGAGCTATGGGATGACTGAAAGCGGTAAATGCGATTACATCTTCCTAAATGAGTTTCTAATTAGGCTTCTAAATGATTTAGTCAGTCAGAAACCATCCTTGCTACTGAACTTAGTAGGCTAACTTACTGAATGCTATTACACTTCACTGAATTCAGTAGCGACTGAATTTAGTCGACTAAATTTAGCCAAGTGTAATAAGCTTTTAAGACAGTGTTGAAAAAAAAAATTCATGGAGTTAGCAACCTCATTAATGTATAACTATTGTGGTAAACAAAAATAATTGGTTCAAAACTATTTACGGTTATTTTAAGTAATTTGGATTTTGATTATTTCATTACCATTTTTTTACGTTTTTCCTTATTTTTTTTAAATGAGATCTAAGAAAATTATATACTCTTTAATTGAATCATCATATCCAGATGATAGTGATGACGATGATTTATCGAGTGCTCCGAGTTCAAATCAATCAATTATTTCATTATCAAGTGATATATTTATTGAAAATATATATGATAATGAAACAAATGAGTTATTTGAACTATTAATAAAATATCTGATGACAGGCAGTACTTTTGAGAGTGCTCGATTGCGCGAAGCGTTGCTGTAGTTGGAAAATTCAACGTTGAGCATTATTCCGCATAATGGGCTCTAGTGCTGTAATTGGAAAACTACCATGATGTACTGATCGGTGACACTGGCCGATGCATTATAATTTTTAAAGAGCCGTTGAGTCTATATATTCATAAAAATGATGGGTTGCCATACATTAAGTATTACATATTCTGTAGTTATGCGAGATCATTTCTATAAAATAGAACAACTACTCTGGACGTAAGTTACTGGGTTTTTCTAAATAACATTTAAATTACTAAGATGCAATAGCATCTTGAATATATGTTGATCTATAATATCTTGAATATAATAGCATCAATTAAATATAATTTCATGTTTCGTCTAAATTAGAGCACTTATTTCCGTTCTAAACTAAATATTTGACTGTATGGACTGTGTTCCTTTTGTTAATCAAGTGGATAAATAAAAAAAGGAAACGACGCTAAAAAAAATAAACCACTATGGTTCACATTTGCCGTCAAGATGGCGACGGCGAATGATTCTAAGGCGCCTTTGCGTCAAGTAAAAAGAGTACAGTTTGGAATACTATCCCCAGATGAAATTGTAAGTTATTGCGTGGTTTTATTTATCAACAAATCAGTCATATTAGAAACATTTACTTGATTTAGGAAGTGCCTATAGTAGAATAGTGAGTCTGCGTTGCGCCCCTACATTGATTTAGTTGATTAGTATTGTGCTACACAACAGCGACACGATGAAGATCATCAGTTACGAAAATTGATAAAGGCTTACCAAAACAGAACGGTCATCACAGTGATGAATACTTGAAAAAACAACACTATTAACGTTGGATTACTTTGAAACTGCGTCTGTTCACTTTCTATTTTGATTTCATATAGATGTAAAAATTATGATTTACAGCGACGCATGTCAGTTACTGAGGGAGGGATTCGATTCCCGGAGACCATGGAAGGTGGAAGACCGAAGCTTGGCGGTCTTATGGATCCTCGACAAGGGGTAATTGACAGAAGCTCACGGTGTCAAACGTGTGCTGGGAATATGACAGAATGTCCAGGACACTTTGGGCACATTGATTTAGCTAAACCAGTTTTCCATATTGGTTTCATAACAAAAACAATAAAAATACTCAGATGTGTATGCTTTTATTGTTCAAAGCTGCTTGTCAGCCCTGTAAGTATCACCATTTTACTATCAACAATTACATTTGTTTAATATTTTAGAATTACATGTAGATGACTTGGTTAAATTTGTTGTTTAGACAAATCCAAAGATAAAAGAAGTTATAATGAAATCCAAGGGCCAACCCCGCAAACGGTTGACCTATGTTTATGATCTGTGCAAAGGAAAAAATATATGTGAAGGTGGTGAAGACATGGATATTGGGAAAGAAGGTGAAGAAGGTAAAAGAGGATCTGGTCATGGTGGTTGTGGGCATTATCAACCCTCTATTAGACGACAAGGTCTAGAGCTCACAGCTGAGTGGAAACATGCTAATGAAGATACACAAGAAAAGAAAATTTTTGTCTCTGCAGAAAGAGTATGGGAAATTTTGAAACATATAACAGGTATGATGTGTAAAATTTTACTAGAAATTAGAATAATCTTGTTTTATTACTATTTATGAAGTATCACAGATGATTTGCTAAGCAGTTGATTTTCTAAGCTAATGCTGTGTTTTATATAAGTTCTATCTTTAGTCTATACTATATATTATTATGAAGTTGCTGTTCAGTTTACAGAAAGCTATAAACTTTTATATGTCTGTTAATTAAAATATTCACTAATGGTATTGATGCTAGGGATAATTTTTTAATGGCCTTCTTGAAGAAGTCTGGTGTATGGAAGCCAAGAAATTTCAAATTTCAAAGGTACTGCCTGTTAAGTATTGAATTTTTTAGGGCTGTTTTCGTTTTAGGCATTGCTTAGGTGCTGAACCAGGGTCAGGGACAAATGTGATGTCCGCTTAGGATTATTAAAAAATAATTCATTTTTCATTGCAAGTGTGTTCACTTCTGTCTGTTAAGCAAAGAAGGCACACCTTACCACATTCATCACACTATAGAGCATTCAGTTAGTGTAGCACACACCTATCGAGATTTTACCTTGCCAATTGGACAGTATTGTTTTGATGCTAATTTTGAAAGCTTTTGCTAACGCAGTGGTGTATTGAGTATTGTTTTAGATACTGCCCATATTGTAAAACTGCACTTTATAGGTAAATACTTGGTACTTAATACATGTCAATTAATAAAATAATTAAAACTATGTTTAATGGTTTCATCATGTTTAATCACATAATCACAGACAACTGTTTCCATGAAAACTAAAGTTATTGGAATATCAAAAATAATAAATTGAAAATAATGAACTAGAGATTCAAACATAAAAGCAGATTTAATTGTCTATGACTTACAAAACTATGAACACCATACTTCCACATTGAAAGAATAGTGTTATTCTACATGCAATATGTAGGTCAACATGTATAAAATAAAGTGTTATTCTTTCATTCTGTACTTAAGAATTTATGAACATGAACCAGCAAATTTTATTAACATGTATATTACTGGTGGTAATTATGTGTACCCTATCCCATCTATTTTTTTTATAACGTAATAAGCGTTGTTATTTGAACGGTGAAGAGTTTCTATCACAATACTGTAGGTATATTGACTATGATTGATTTTGTTCACTGTTATTTGCATAAAAAAGAATCTTTGTCTTTGAAATTTTAAACTACTTTTAAACTTGATTCCAAACTGGTTTAAAAGTAGTTTAAAATGACTATATTTTGAAAATTGGTTAGGAAGAGTGGGCTAGCAGTGGAAACATCTGTTTTGTGAGGAAGTATGTTAGATAGTGAACCAACTATTAGAAGGATTTTTACATATCTGCTTTGAACATAACTGATTGTGGAAATAAAAAACTTAGTTTACATCCATCTTGAGAATTTAGCCCCAAGTTTCAAGGAAGGCAGGGGCATTCATAATGTCATTTCTAAGAGCACCTGTAACAACCAGGTTAAATACTCAAAGTTAATCGCACTCTATTTATTGACTGTTCTNCGTCTCCTTCAAAGAATACGGTTCAAAACCTGCATTAAATAAAGGTTAATAGTTAACCTGTTATTTATCTAAGATGTCGTTCCGAAGAGTTTTGTGACTGCCAATGGAATACAAAGTCAATAATTCGTTTTTCTGATTTACCAATCATTGTCCAAAAGTCAGATTGCCGCCTTTGATAATAGTCGACTCATATAAGGTATCATGGCATTGATGCTAGGGATAATTTTTTAATGGCCTTCTTGAAGAAGTCTGGTGTATGGAAGCCAAGAAATTTCAAAGGCATTTGGTACTGTCTGTTAAGTATTGAATTTTTTAGGGCAAAGTTTTCGTTTTAGGCATTGCTTAGGTGCTGAATCAGGGTCTAACAAATGTGATGTTCGCTTAGGATTATTAAAAAAGAATTCATTTTTCATTGCAAGTGTGTTCACTTCTGTCTGTTAAGCAAAGAAGGCACACCTTACCACATTCATCACACTATAGAGCATTCAGTTAGTGTAGCACACCTATCGAGATTTTACCTTGCCAATTGGACAGTATTGTTTTGATGCTAATTTTGAAAGCTTTTGCTAACGCAGTGGTGGATTGAGTATTGTTTTAGATACTGCCCATATTGTAAAACTGCACTTTATAGGTAAATACTTGGTACTTAATACATGTCAATTAATAAAATAATTAAAACTACGTTTAATGGTTTCATCATGTTTAATCACACATAATCACAGACAACTGTTTCCATGAAAACTAAAGTTATTGGAATATCAAAAATAATAAATTGAAAATAATGAACTAGAGATTCAAACATAAAAGTAGATTTAATTGTCTATGACTTACAAAATCATGAGTACCATACTTCCACATTGAAAGAATAGTGTTATTCTACATGCAATATGTAGGTCAACATGTATAAAATAAAGTGTTATTCTTTCATTCTGTACTTAAGAATTTATGAACATGAACCAGCAAATTTTATTAACATGTATATTACTGGTGGTAATTATGTGTACCCTATCCCATCTATTTTTTTGATAACGTAATAAGCATTGTTATTTGAACGGTGAAGAGTTTCTATCACAATACTGTTGGTATATTGACTATGATTGATTTTGTTCACTGTTATTTGCACCAAAAAAGAATCTTTGTCTTTGAAATTTTAAACTACTTTTAAACCTGATTCCAAACTGGTTTAAAAGTAGTTTAAAATGAGAGTGACTATATTTTGAAAATTGGTTAGGAAGAGTGGGCTAGCAGTGGAAACATCTATTTTGTGAGGAAGTATGTTAGATAGTGAACCAACTATTAGAAGGATTTTTACATATCTGCTTTGAACATAACTGATTGTGACATTCATAATGTCATTTCTAAGAGCACCTGTAACAACCAGGTTAAATACCCAAAGTTAATCGCACTCTATTTATTGACTGTTCTAATTCTATAAACCATTTACAGATGAAGATTCATTTATTTTGGGTATGGATCCAAATTTTGCAAGACCAGATTGGATGATTGTGACGGTTTTGCCTGTCCCTCCATTGTGTGTTCGTCCAGCTGTTGTTATGTTTGGCTCTGCCAAAAATCAAGATGACTTAACCCACAAGCTAGCTGATATAATAAAAGCTAACAATGACTTGGAAAAAAATGAGCAGTCTGGAGCTGCTGCTCATGTCCTTGCAGAGAATATAAGAATGTTACAATTTCATGTTGCTACTTTTGTTGACAATGACATGCCTGGTATGCCAAAGTAAGTAAAAGTAAATTGTAATTTTTTATAAAAGCTTTAAGTAAAAGAATTTTAAAATAAACAAAATTTCCATTTAAAAAATACCATATTAAATGTTTTTTTCTAGAGCTATGCAGAAATCTGGGAAGCCCTTAAAGGCTCTCAAAGCCAGATTGAAAGGAAAAGAAGGAAGAATTCGAGGAAATCTAATGGGGAAACGTGTTGACTTCTCAGCTAGGACAGTAATCACACCTGATCCAAATTTACGTATAGATCAAGTTGGGGTTCCCAGATCAATTGCTCAAAATATGACATTCCCAGAGTTGGTGACTCCATTTAATCTTGATAGAATGCAAGAACTTGTCCGAAGAGGAAATGCACAATACCCTGGGGCAAAGTACATTGTAAGAGAAAACGGAGAAAGAATTGATTTAAGATTCCATCCTAAATCTTCAGATTTACATTTACTCTATGGTTACAAAGTAGAAAGACATCTAAGAGATGATGACCTTGTTATATTTAATCGTCAACCAACTCTTCACAAAATGAGTATGATGGGTCACAGAGTTAAGGTACTTCCTTGGTCAACGTTTCGTATGAATTTGAGTTGCACATCACCTTACAATGCTGATTTTGATGGAGATGAAATGAATTTGCATGTTCCTCAATCAATGGAAACAAGGGCTGAAGTTGAAAATATTCATATAACACCTAGACAAATTATAACTCCACAGGCTAATAAACCTGTAATGGGTATTGTGCAGGACACATTGACTGCCGTTAGAAAAATGACTAAGAGAGATGTTTTTTTAACAAAAGAACAAGTAATGAATCTTCTTATGTTTTTACCTACATGGGATGGTAAAATTCCTCAACCTTGCATTTTGAAACCACAGCCTTTATGGACAGGTAAACAAATATTCACTTTAATAATACCTGGTCCCGTTAATATGATTCGAACTCACTCTACTCATCCTGATGAAGAAGATGATGGCCCTTACAAGTGGATTTCTCCAGGAGATACCAAAGTTGTTGTAGAACATGGAGAACTACTAATGGGTATTTTGTGTAAAAAGTCGCTTGGTGCATCTGCTGGCTCTCTGTTGCATATTTGCATGTTGGAATTAGGCCATGAAACTGCTGGACGATTCTACGGTAACATTCAGACTGTCATTAATAACTGGCTTCTGTTGGAAGGTCACTCAATTGGTATTGGTGACACTATTGCTGATCCACAGACATATCAGGAAATTCAGCGTGCAATCGTAAAAGCTAAAGATGACGTAATAGAAGTCATTCAGAAAGCCCACAATATGGAATTGGAACCCACACCTGGTAATACACTAAGGCAGACCTTTGAAAATCAAGTGAACCGTATCCTCAATGATGCTCGTGATAAAACAGGTGGATCTGCTAAGAAATCATTAACAGAATACAATAATCTCAAAGCTATGGTAGTTGCTGGCTCGAAAGGTTCAAACATTAATATTTCACAAGTCATTGCTTGTGTAGGCCAACAGAATGTTGAAGGAAAACGAATCCCATTTGGATTTAGAAAACGCACCTTACCCCACTTTATTAAAGATGATTATGGTCCTGAATCCAGAGGTTTTGTTGAAAACTCTTATCTAGCTGGTCTGACTCCTTCAGAATTCTATTTTCACGCCATGGGTGGACGTGAAGGTTTAATTGATACTGCTGTAAAAACTGCTGAAACTGGATACATTCAACGGCGTCTCATTAAAGCCATGGAGTCTGTAATGGTCCACTATGATGGTACAGTTAGAAACTCTGTTGGACAACTTATTCAATTGAGGTATGGTGAGGACGGTCTCGCAGGAGAGACAGTAGAATTCCAGAACCTGCCGACTGTTAAATTGTCAAATAAAGCATTTGAAAAGAAATTCAAATTTGACTCTTCCAATGAGAGATATCTGAAGAGAATTTTCAGTGAAGACATAGTCAGAGAGCTAACAGAATCTGGAAGTGTCATAGCTGACCTTGAAAGTGAGTGGGAACAACTTTCTAAAGACAGAGAAACATTACGTCAGATTTTCCCAACGGGAGAATCTAAGGTTGTATTGCCATGTAATTTCAAGAGAATGATTTGGAATGCTCAGAAAACATTCCACATAAACAAGAGAATACCAACAGACTTAAGCCCTATCAAAGTTATAAAAGGTGTATCAGACCTTCTAAAGAAGTGTGTCATTGTAGCTGGTGATGATCGTTTGTCTAAGCAAGCCAATGAGAATGCTACATTACTTTTCCAATGCTTAGTGAGATCAACACTTTGTACAAAATTTGTATCTGAAGAACATAGATTATCTAGTGTAGCATTTGAATGGCTTATCGGGGAAATAGAGGCAAGATTCCAGCAAGCACAAGTAAATCCAGGTGAAATGGTAGGCGCTTTAGCTGCTCAATCACTTGGTGAGCCAGCTACTCAGATGACATTGAATACCTTCCATTTTGCTGGTGTATCATCCAAAAATGTAACACTTGGTGTGCCTCGTCTGAAGGAAATCATCAACATTTCTAAGAAACCAAAGGCTCCTTCTCTAACTGTATTTTTGACCGGTGGAGCAGCCAGAGATGCCGAAAAAGCCAAAAACGTTCTCTGTAGATTAGAACATACAACTTTACGTAAAGTTACTGCTAACACGGCTATTTATTATGACCCTGATCCTCAGAATACTGTTATTGCAGAGGACCAAGAATTTGTCAATGTTTACTACGAAATGCCTGACTTTGATCCTGCGAAAATTTCGCCTTGGTTATTGCGTATTGAACTGGACCGTAAGAGAATGACCGACAAGAAATTAACAATGGAACAGATTGCTGAGAAAATTAATGCTGGTTTTGGTGATGATCTCAATTGTATCTTCAATGATGACAATGCTGAAAAGTTAGTTTTGCGAATTAGAATCATGAATAATGAAGAAAGTAAATTCCAAGATCATGATGAAGAGACAGTAGACAAAATGGAAGATGACATGTTCTTAAGATGTATTGAAGCAAACATGCTGTCTGATATGACTTTGCAAGGCATTGAGGCTATTGCAAAAGTGTATATGCATTTACCACAGACAGAAGCTAAGAAACGTATAACTATAACTGAACAGGGAGAGTTCAAAGCTATAGCAGAATGGTTATTGGAAACAGACGGCACATCTCTTATGAAAGTGCTCTCAGAGCGTGATGTGGATCCAATCAGAACTTTTAGTAACGACATTTGTGAGATATTCCAAGTGCTTGGAATTGAAGCTGTACGAAAATCCGTCGAAAAAGAAATGAATGCGGTTTTGCAGTTCTACGGTCTATACGTGAATTATCGACACTTGGCATTGCTTTGTGACGTCATGACAGCAAAAGGTTATCTTATGGCCATCACACGTCACGGCATTAACCGACAGGACACTGGTGCTCTTATGAGATGTTCATTTGAGGAAACCGTCGATGTTTTATTGGACGCTGCCAGTCATGCTGAAGTGGATCCTATGAGAGGAGTATCAGAAAATATTATAATGGGACAGTTGCCGAGAATGGGTACTGGTAAGTGAAAACAAATTGCAATATTTTGGAACATATCATGAGGAAAGTATGTATTAGAACATTAGTTTCTCATTATTTATTTTAATTATCTATAGGTTGCTTCGATTTATTACTTGATGGCGAGAAGTGCAAGGAAGCAATGGGCGGTCTTGGAGGCGCAGAAGTGGGAATGTATTTCGGTGTCGGAACGCCATCTATGTCACCACTTATGACTCCCTGGTCTACACAGAATACACCAGGATATGGAAGCAGCGTGTGGTCTCCATGTCAAGGTAAATCCAAAAAGTGAAACTTATGTATTTATAAATATTTTTAAAACAAAGTAAATGTGTTGCCTAAAATTTGAAAGTGTACGTTTCGATCAGAAGTAGTTTAATTAATGTAAAAAATCGACTTTAAACTTTAGAGTTTACACTTTTAAATAAACTATAATCCTTGTTTTTTTTTAGTTGGCAGCAGTATGACTCCTGGAGGACCATCATTCTCGCCATCTAACGCATCTGACGCATCAGGACTCTCACCGGCATACAGTAATGCTTGGTCACCACAACCTGGTTCACCAGGATCTCCCGGACCTCCGCTTTCACCTTACTCGTCGCCCGCAGGAGCGTCACCATCTTACTCCCCATCGAATCCTGTTTACGCTCCCGCGTCCCCGAGTATTACTCCAACATCACCACATTATTCACCTGCCAGTCCTTCTTACTCTCCAACTTCACCCAATTATTCCCCGACTTCACCAATATACTCGCCAACATCACCCAGCTACTCGCCAACATCGCCTGGTTATTCGCCCACATCCCCATTATACTCCCCAGCTTCTCCTAGATACTCTCCGTCATCTCCCAACTATTCACCAGCAAGTCCGGCTTATTCAACAACTTCTAATTTCCCGACAACTTCACCTAACTATTCTCCATCAAGTCCTTCGTATTCTCCCACGAGTCTATCGTATTCTCCAACGAGCCCAGGTTATTCCACATCCCCTGGCTATTCGCCCTCGTCACCTAGATATTCACCAAATAGTCCTGTCTACAGTCCTACTTCATCAAATTATTCGCCTTCGTCTCCAAATTACACTTCTGGATCTGTTTATTCACCTACGAGTCCTACATATTCACCTACTTCTCGCTCATATTCTCCATCATCACCGAGCTATTCGCAGTCTTCTCCAAATTATTCACCCTCGTCACCGAATTATTCTCCTACTTCGCCCTCTGTGGCTGGAGGTAGTCCTACATATTCACCAACAAGTCAGCAATATTCTCCAACCAGTCCACAGTATTCTCCGACTAGTCCAGGCTATTCTTCTACATCACAACATCCTAGTAGCACTAGGTATTCGCCGTCTTCGCCTTCCTCGCCTAATTATTCTCCATCATCTCACAATTATTCACCTTCATCTCCCCGGTATTCGCCAGGATCATCAAAATATTCCCCGACATCGCCTACTTTTACTCCTACTTCTCCCAATTATTCTCCGAGCTCTCCTGCGTATTCTTCCACTGGTGGACCATCTACCTATTCTCCAACTTCACCAACATATTCATCTACTTCACCCAATTATGATGATGGTGACGACTGAATTGAAAATGTTTTTTTTTACTATAATGTACTATAATTTCTACTATACCTCCATAATATACTAAATTTAAAGTTTTATTGTGGTGATAATATTATGTCTTATAATTTTTTTTTATGACTATGTGTAGAAAAATATTTCTCATACGCTCAACAGCATTGGAATAGTGTGAGATAATAGAAGATACATGAAATAAAAATGTATCTGTTACTAATTTTCACTTTGTATAGAATAGTTATAAGTTATTTAGCTTAAGAAATACAAAATATAAATGGTATATTTAAGATAGTGCTGTATTTTCTTTAAACTAGATAAAAATGAAAATATTCCATTGTTTAAATAATCTTTTACGGGTTTTCATTGTTTCAAATGTAATTCCAATGTGATTGCTTTGATCAAGACTGGTAGATAAATAGTTATCTGCGGAAGAAAATCGTAAAAGTTCAAAACAATTTTGAAATCTGTGGTTAATTTACTGTTTCAATTGATTAAAATTAAGTAAGGAGGATTGAAATGGATATTCAATAAAATGTGCGTGTACCTTAGTATTAAGAACAAAAACAAAAATATAAAAAAAAGGATTGTGTGGTTTATGAAACCACAGTAAAAGTGAAACTTTTTTTCACATTATAGACATTTAACTCTGACAAACAACATTTACATGAAACACTGACAAAAACAAACAAAAAAAATAGCGTGGAGCACTGGCACAAATGAGTAAAAGTACACTAGACGGTCAGCTGCTGCGAAGTATAGGCGCCGCCATATTGGCCTTGGCTGCTTTGACGAGCGCCTTTCACTTTATCGCTACTCTATGGCCGACCGTCACGCGACATGCAACACAGACGAAAAAGTTTGAGACGATGTAATAAAAGTTTCACTTTAAAAAGTTTTTTTAATTATATAGGGTTTCGTGTTCACAGATACTTATATAGTAGTGGAAAACGAACTACCCCAAAATAAATGTTAAGTAAAACTATCCGTATTATAATGCGGAGTTGAAACACAGCTGCGTTTCCATTGCTGTGCCATCACGCTACACTCATTTATTTAGCTTCGTTATGTATGCAGATGTAGATCAATTACAGCGATCTATAGCCACGTTACCGAATGATTCGTGCCTCAATGACGTCACGGACTCGAATGGTCTATTTGGGAGCCTCGTGCGGCTCAAGGGGAACCGTCCCCTTCCATAGGTGGCATGGCATATAGCGACATTCGTTGCGGGTGATATGAGAGAGGTGTAAGCTCTGTGTGCTTAGTGCCAGTTTTTTAACGTTCTCGATAGCGTAAAAGTTAGCTCATTTGTATGGAATGGGATCGTTTGCGTATGTTTGCCGTTAGGGGCGCTGTTCCAACTGCATACTAAATTGGCTTAACTTTTACGCTATCGAGAACGTTAAGAAACTCGCACTAACCACACAGCTCGCACATCATGCGCAGTTATGGAGTGGACATGGCAACGCGGCTTAGTATCCATAAGTATCTAGTTTTGTTATTGATTAGTCAGGTAATTACAATGTTATATGTAGGACAAGAGAAAAATAAACGAAAACCCAAAGAATCGTGTTTTATTTATCCGTTCTGTTACCATTTGATATTTTTTGAGATATACTAGCCGATAACTTAAAACTTTATCGACTCTGTCAATAAAGTACACTATTACACACAATGTTAGTTACATTTAGTTAGTTATTCAAACTAATTTATTTTATCACCTTCAAAATATGCTTCAAAAAAGATAAATTTACACCAAAGAATAATTCAATCATCAAAATATTTTTTAAACGCTTTTTCCAGAATTGAATTGCCACGAATTCTCCTTTGTGTCTTCTACCGAATAAAAACGGGTGTCATGAAGTGATAATTTGAGTTTTAAGAAAAATAAGCCTGCCGTAACCACATCTAGTGAATCAGATGGTCGCTAGTTGGTACCTATTTGTTGAGTGTTTGGTCAAAAATTTGTTCAAAACGATGCCTTTGTGCGAAGACGCCTTATCGTTGTGTAAAGTCAAGAATTGTTTTTGTTTATGTTTGTTTGAATTACGAGTGCACAACACCGCGGTACTTAAAGAAAACAGTCAACATGACTGACTTTTTTGATCGACTTTAGCGTGGTTTTTTCGATTTCGGTTCAGTTGAAAAGCGCCACTCCGAATCTTGTTGACTAGCTTGATGTCAAACTCATGTCTCGTCACCAGTAATACCTAATGGCTTTCATAAATGTTTAGTGAATTGACTCGTTAGAGCATGTCCTCAGTGATTCTTAAGCGATAATGCGATTGACTTTTTGGAGAAAATTCAGTTCTTTTGGTACTGTGATTATTTACAATGCTACGAATTGATTCGTAAGAAAGTTCGGCTATCTCTTAAATTGGAATGAGAGTTTTCAACCACTATTTTCTTCATTTTTGTGACGTTAACTTCAATTGCAGAGGTTGCTGGCCTACCATAGCAAAGCAAATCTTCCATCACAATTCTACCGCTTTTGAACGATTTGTACCACGCACAAGCACGTGTTTTGTGTAACTTTTTCAGTGACTCCGAACACGAAACTCCAATTCAATTCCAACGAATTTCCAATTGGCGATACAAAATTTAAGGCAAACTGTTTGTTCGATGTTTTTGTCTAATATGAAATTCGCAATACTAGATGTGATAGAACTAAAAATAGCACTGTATTTAATCTAAATAATAGATGCAACAAAACTCCGCAACAAAATGGAATACGGTCGACAATCTAACAACAATAAAAAAACCTAAAATTGAATTTGGAACCATAAACAAATTATACATTCCCAATAATTTTTTAACTAAATGTATGCAACAAATATATGATTTTATTTATAGCACTACATACTACTTATGAGTTTTCCGACTTAAAAAAACTTAATACAATCCTATACAGAAATTAGAAGTGTTAGTAGTTTAATAGATATGGCGCTCCGTCTTTTTTGTCTTGAGTAATGTGTCTGCCGTGGTTAGAAACTTATGTACCTACACAAGGCGAATACGCACGTCATGGTGTCTATGGGCTCATAAATATATTATATTTTTCGCATTTTCAAATAACCCAGCTTTGTTATTAGAATGATTATTAGAATTATCTCTTTGCATACAACTAGTCTATAACCTGAGGATATTTTAACTATGGTAAATGACATGACTACTGATGACTGAATACTACAATACAATAAGGATACTTTTATTGTTCATAATTATTATCCTAATAAGCAACATTAAAATTTATCTACGTTACATTAACGACTTATAAAACTGAAAAAATGTAAAAACATAATACACACTATAAGGTCGATGCATAAATGTAAATAGATATCTTATGCTTATAAATTAAACTATTTAACAAATTCAAATTGTACTTATATGATATTCAATAGATTATTCTACTATATATTATAATTCCAATATTATCTAAAACACAGCCATTACATTCTATTACCTACGTATGTACTGTCATGTACTGTAAGTATCTGTTTATTGTACCATGTTATTTAAGCTTCAATAAAATTATTACTCTCATAAAATAATAAATTCAGGACAATTTCTCAAAAAACTGTAGGTAGGTACACATTTTCTTATATTTAGTATTATCTAGATTTATGGAAGCCATTTCTTTGACAATAATTGAAAAATAAATAAAGGAAGCGCAATTCCAGTTTTGTGCTTGTAATTAATTAAGGAAGTGTCACTAATTATATAAAATAAATAGTGTTAGTTTAATCAGTTACTATCTGACAATGTAGAATGGCATACTACATTATTTTCCTCGATAAATTTCAATAATACGATCTTGGTCAACATATTCGAAAATATGTGGTGCATCCATCAGTATCCCAACCGTTCCTGCTGTGGTGACTATGAAGAAAATGTACAGCTGTAATCTGTCAATAACCATTGCCACGTATTTCCAGTCTTCGCGAGTCTGTAAATGAAAGGGTATATGCGAAGCCTAGTTATAGTTTTGTAATACTTGTAAAGTTTAATGAAATGAAAGCAAAATATTAAAATAAAACTTAAAAAGTTAAAGATCATTTGAAAATAATTACTTCTGCGTTTATAGTTACAGTTATGTGTATGTACAGAAAATATTTAATACAATTTTATCGTTTAAAACAGTGTATTAAATAATAAACTAACCTGAATGTAAAGATCTTCATTTCGTAAATGTTCCGCAATGAATTCGACTGCTTCTGTAGCCTTTGCCGCTTCAGGAGAAAGTAGGAGTGAATCGGAACTTTCCGATTCGCGTCTTTCTCCTCCAAGTCCCAGACCGCCCAGTGCACCAAGATCTCCAAGAGCGCCAACTTCACCTCCGCCGGCAGCACGGTTTATTTTGCAATTTGGATGATGTAGGTCCGATAGCTCCATTGCCTCCATTTTGCTTTGTTTGGCACCAATCGCACTAAGAAGTTAGTATGTCGACTATGTTTCATGCAAAAATGTATTACGATGCGATAGATTCGCTATAATGTCTATAATTATTAATACCTTATATGTTTCGGGAGGTCGTGTGGTGCCGCTGCATGGGGTGGGGCACCCATTCCGGGCATTTCCATCATCCAGCGCAATCTAGTTTTTCTCGGTCTTCGCATAAGCAGCATAGCTGGTAAATAATGCAGAAAAACGCTTCGAATCCATAATGGCATCCTGTTGAAACAGATTAAATAAATTATTAATAAAAAAACAAACATGAAGAATACGTTTTAGAATTATAAATACCTATGAGTTCTGGGTCCTCTGAAGTTCCAATTGATTATGATAACCGTAACCAGAATACTGACAGTATTCATGATGAATGTGAATAATAAATATTTAGCGATAAGTGGAAGTACAAGCGATGTCGGTGGAAGAATCTTTGATACCAGAAGCAGGAACACAACCAGAGAAAGTAAAATGCTGATACCCAAGGTTACCTGTAATGTGGTCAAACAAGGTATGAGATTAATCTTTTATTAAAAACTAGCTGACCCGGCAGACTTCGTAATGCCTCAATCGATAAATAAAAGACCTAAGCTTTTGTATAAAATAAACTTAAAACAAACAAAAGGAATACGTCCGACGGGGGACACATCAAAGGAAAAACAAAATTGTTATTTTTATTTAATTCCGAGAATTTTCATATTTATCTACCTTTTAAACCTTCTCTGGACTTCCACAAATAAATTAAGACCAAAATTAGCCAAATCGATCCAGCCGTACTCGAGTTTTAGTGAGACTAACGAACAGCAATTCATTTTTATATATAGAGATAAAACTATGCTATGTTGAAAATTAATTAAATAATGAACTCACTTTTTCACCAGCTTCAGCTGGCAAATAAAATACAAGTACACAAAGAAACGAAATTAAAACAGTCGGCAATATTAAGTTTACAGTGTAAAACAATGTTTTCCGTCGAATTATAATGTAGAACGTAATATCAGTTTCAGTTGGATGATTGCCTTCATAAATGTTCAAATAAGCCGGTACTTCTATGATATCCCATGTTCCTGACTTCCAATAATCGGAAAGATCAACAAAGTTCTTGTTGTTGTATAGCGCCAGTGATACTTGGTCCCCATTGAACGTCCAAGATCCGAATTTCATGATACACGTTTGCTGGTCAAACGGAAAGTAGGTTACGTCAATCGTGCACGAGCTCTGAAATTAAGTGATGTCGTTGTATTCTGAAATTGTCTTTCATGTTCTATAAAGTTATATGTTGACACTGTAAACCATGACATTTACCTGATATATAGCTGGTGGGACCCAAAGTACTTCTCCATTAGGATATATAAGCACGTTTGATTTATATCGGACTTCGTAATTTCCGTCAGCGCTGCAAATGGAATAATTGAAGATTTTTTTCTGTTTGCATTTATGTGTGAAGTGTTTTAATTATTAATAATCGTGAATGGAGCTTTAAAACAACCACGGGATGCATTGGTTGGATGTATATTTTAGTAGCTAGATAGACTTTGCGGTAAACAAGTTTTTTCTAAATATTTTGGATACTTACTTATTGAAAAGAACTATATCTGGCTTCCAAACCTTGTCAGGCGGTAATCTTAATACGCCAATACCGCCGTAGTCAGCTTCGTCCCACATCAACTGGTAATCCATCCAAACCAAACGGAGCCAAACGTTTGATTTCATAATTTGGTTCTTCTCATTCTGTGAAAACAATAAATCGCTGTTGTCATTCCAGTCCTTTCTATTGACCCCATTCTTGGTAGAAAAGTATAATAAAAATTAACAGCATCATTGTAATCTTTCAAGAAACAATTAAGGTTATTTGAACACTTACGACGTTAATGAGTTGTACAAACGCAAGACCAAATCTCACATCCACTTTCTGTGTCATGTTTTGGACAGGTCGTATTAATTTATTGTATCCTCGGAAAAGGTCGCGAACTAAACGTTCTTCGTCTTCTGAACACCATCCTTAATAGAACACGTCACATGATTTAAAAATATAAAGAGCACTAAACACACAAAAAAAAAGTACAGTCACAAACAAATATTATATTTGAAGTCCTTATAAACCAAACGATTACACCTTACTGAAGAACAACGCCTTTAGACCTTCAACTAGTTAATATGGAGGGGATATAGTTTGTATGTTTCAGGATATGTCTTCCAGTACGAGATGAGACTATTAGAGATTATTAAAGCCAGGGATTATAACGTAATCTGGGTTAAAGTATATCTAGTTAAGTTAATTGCGATTTCGTGACGGAAAACTGTCTAAATTTTGTTCGATTATTGAAGTATTACTTAAACGTTCTATATTATAAATGCTATCTTTAGTTAGATAACTGTAACGGGCCGGTAATTTGCGATTGTGAGAGGCTGTGATGGCGACAGATCAATATGGAAACAAAATAGAGATGAAACTGTTTTGATGTTTGTATTTGATACGCAAAGTAAATACTGTACTGAATAATAGTTGTAATAAATTGATAATAGCTAAATTCAATATTATAGTCTGGTATAATCTGAGATTCTGGTCTTTGTCTAAATTTTTTTTTATATAGTTCTATAACGTGTTCGTTTAATGCCACATAATTTATTTGATATAAAAATGAAGGTACTATCATTTAATTTTGTTATGTTCTTAAAATTGGAGCAAAAAATGATGTATAAATATATCTAGTTTTCCATTTCCAAGTTTAATTTTAAGGTACTTAAAAATTTAGTTTTACAAATTGTCTAGCTTAGATAATTAAGTACATATCTACTTAATTGGTTTTGGTAAATTTTCCTATAATAAAGCAAAGTACCTGAATACAGGATGGCCAGTAGGGTGGTGGCGAGGAAAGCGCGCGATACGCACGACATTGCAGCGCGCACTGCCGGATGCGGGTACATAAGCACTTTAGGTAACACGTACACCAGCCAGATTCTGATCTACCCCTAAGAAAAACGTAATTTTCAACTTATAATTTTATTCAAGTATTTTTTCCCAGAATTACTGTAGATTTCGATTGTGTAGATTTTTAATTCAGTTAATTTTCTTCGTTGATTCGGAAAATGATGTATAGAAATTTATAATTCTACATACTACGAGTGTTTGTGATATTATTATGTTTATATTATTTCTTGTGATTGAATTAAACCCAACATAATAATATATTTGTGTCGTTTTATATCAAGTATGGTGATATCATTTAATATAAAAAAAACCGCATATATTTCACCATTTTTTTTATTTGTTTACACATAAAAATCGATGCGTATTAGTAATTTTTTTTAAACTTTGTTTGGTATACAAAAAGAAATACAAATTTCCGGTGCTTTATTTGGTGCAATTGGATCGTTATTGCATCTTCTCACTTGTGTTCGTATTCGTTAGGTATTTGCGCATGTGCCATGATCCCTAGGGATGGCATCGATTTTCTACTGATTCTTTCTGTTTCAGGACTTGCGCTTTACCACCTGTTTTATTTATATATAAATGGTTACAACATTTGATTTATATGTATATTTTTATTCATATATTAAACAGAAGTTATAATACAATGTAATGTACATATGTATAAAATATCTTGCCGCATTCTTTACGTTTAGATCTCTTAATTCTTTTATAATTTTAGTTTTTAAATAAATATTTTTATTTTATACTAGCTGACCCGCAGACTTCGTAGTACCTCAATCGATAAATAAAAGACCTAAACTTTTGTATAAAATAAACTTAAAACTTAAGATTAAGATCGGGACTAGACGACGGCCAGTCTTCAGCTCTGATGAAGTCCGAAACGTTCGTTTCCAACCAAGACTGCGTAGGCCGAGCTTTATGACCTGGCGCCGAGTCTTGCTGGAAGGACCATTCTTGATTATTGAACATGGTGTTGTTAAGGGGCTTCACTACCTTCTCAAGAATGGTATCTTGATACACTTGTACCGATGTTTTGATACCTTTTTCACAAAAGTATGGCTCAGTCACTGCTTCATAGCTAATACCTCACCAAACCATCACTGAAGTCGGATAGTGCCCACGTTGCACTCTGTCGACTAATTGGGAAGCTTCCTTAGAGCTTTGAGCATAAATACGGTCATTATGTTTGTTAAAATGTTGCTCAATTGTAAAAAATTTCTCATCCGTAAACAAACATTTTCTGACTTCCCTTTGCATACCGATTCAGTAGTTGTTTCGATTTTACCACCCTATTCTCTTTTAAATTACATATCAGTTAAGAAATGACCAGTATGTCTCTTATAGGCTGCAAGTCCTAAGTCATCTTTTAAAATACGCGACATGGTTCTAGGTGCTATCTTCATCTCCCGAGATAAAATCTTTTGCTTTCGGACAGGATTTCTTCGAATTCTTTCGCTTACTGCTTTGGCCACCTTTTTCGTACGAACACTACGTGGACGGCCAGATCCTTTTCTGTCACAAACAGAGGAGGTCTCATTGCACCTATTAATAGCCCAGTACACAAACATTTTACTAATACCAAGAGTATGGAGAGTTTTAAAAATTGCATTTGGCTCCATACCTACTTTGTGTAATGCAATCACAGCGATTCGGTTCTCTTTATCACCCCACTCCATTTTAATATCGCAAAATATTGTACAATAGTACAATGGCGCCAATAGCGCCAAAATGAGAAAATTCAATGAGCAATCATATAAAAATGACAGATTCCAAATTCAAATGTAATATTTTGTTTATTTTTAGTTGTAACAGTATTTATGGCCAGACTAAGTATAGATAGATTAATGCTGTTTTGAAGAATATGTAATTCGACCAGTGTTCCAACTTTAAGCGATCTGATATAAAATGCACATTAACAAAGTTATTGTTCATGCTGCAGCTGTGAGCCATGAAATAAGAGTTATGCGAATGTTTTGAAAATGGAAATCAATGTTATAAATAGATAGCGTGAAACAACAGACTTGATCGTAACACGTGATAAAAATTTGCATAATTTCCTACTGGCGTAATGACCCCGTACGGGGCGACACCATCATAACGGTCTGTTTTTGGTGCGAGAATACGTTTATAACATAAAGTTTAACCTATTATCAACTGTGAACTTGAGATACGGCAGCGAGGTTTTCTACTTTACAAACAAAATTGTTCAAGGTTTGGTCTGTGCATAGTCTTTCGTTATTTTACTCTGTGAAACGTAAAAATGTAAGGCGTGACAGTCCTTGTACGAAATTCAACCAGACATCATAATTTATAAAAATAAGGGCCTCAGCAAGAGTACGTTCTGTGATGCTGCAGTATTTTACCGCCAATCAACCGTGCTTTTTAACAGAGTTCAGTTACAGTTAAATCTAACGTAGTTCTGTGTAGTGAATAATGAATGAATAATTGAACGAATAAAGAATGAAGATTGCGGTGAAAAATCAGCCCAGCTCCTCGAAAAACATAAGCAATCATACCATCGCTTACATCAACCAATCATCATCATTCACATCAAATCACAATACATTTACTCATTATCGTCCCTTATTACTAAATCCATGTATTTATTGCCAGCAAAAACATCACTCCAGGCCTCCTAGGCAGAAAGATAAAGTCCAGGCAGAGAGTTTATCCCGAGACCCGATTCGTTTCCCTGTAAGGGGCTACGAGGACCCGGCGGATATCGCGGGGCTGTTGACAACTACTGGCACTAGCGACATGCACGCCGTGATGTATATGTGCTCCGGTAATCACTTAGCACCAGACAGGCCCTAAGCTTGTCAGATGCAATAAACAAACTATTTGAAATTGATAAGTTATTATAAATTCGATTATTAACCTATTCAGATTGTAGCAACGTCTCTAAGTTTGTGAAAGCCATTATACTGCGCCTCTTGAAACACTTAAACCACTTGGTTACCCAAGAAATATCAGTTAGAGCACAGAAATAATATTAGAGTGTGCGAGCTAAGAGGTATCATTGGAAAACCGTATAATTCTGCGTCTTAATGCGATGGCCACAATAAAAGTTTCCTGGAAGAGAACAAGTATGACGCCAGTGAAGGTTAAATTGCCTTTTGCTAAAAAGAGAAAAGGAAAAAATAATTAAAACACTTTTCGATCCATTCGTTTATATTTAATAAAGAAACTTCGGCGTTCAGAGCATTAAATTAACAATTTAACAAAACTCTAGGACGATTTAACAAATATCGTCCATTGTCGACGGAAAGGTTCCGCGTTCGAGTTTTTTCATGAAATTTATCGGAAACGGTGACCATCACGGCGGCACCCCCCGTCAGGGTCGTCACACAACCGCTATCAACTTGTTAGTGAGATAATGAAAACGATACAAAAAAACGAATACAAACATTGTCACGTAATCCTTGTCGTTCCGCAACTTCCTAGTTAGAGCGCCACAGATTACTTTGTTACCTCAAAAAAGGAAAACATGAGGAAACCTTGCGAGGATACAGCATTTCACTTAATGTATCCGCGCATTTGTCTCGTTGGACGTTGTCCTTTTGGGAGGTTTACAATGTTGTGCAGAAGTCATTTCGCACGAACTTGAAACATAATTATTTTACGCAAACAAAATGTATAAATCGTTATTAATTGTAATTTTTTTTGGAATAAGGTAACTGATGAACGGTGGAAGATAAAATATGTCAATATAATTTTATCATACATGTAAATTGTGTTGATTCATGTTGTATAAATTAATTATAAACAAGTATTACCATCGTTTGTAAATGGAACAGGAAAAGGTTTTTTTTTTTTTTCAATTTATGGAACCGTTTGCCTTTAATTGATCGATTGATTCTCTGTAAATACTGTTTAGAATAAATTTTGGGTATTCATAGAACGGTAAACCTTATTTCAATTTTTACATAAGAGGGGGCAAGTTAAAAAAAACCGCTATTAATGCATAATGAATCGCTGTTGTTTAATGTAATTCAGTACAAACTTGTTATAACTATTTTATAAGGTGACTTGTAAAAGTTGTTTCGAAAGACACAAGTATGTCTTTATTAAATAATATTTTGTTTAACTACAACTTTTTAACGAACTTTTAATTAAGCTATAACTTTGGATATTTTACCATTAACAACAACATCCACCCGTTCACAACGAGGCATATCACAACCAGTACCAATTGAATCAACATTGTTTGTAAAGTTCTACACTAGCTAATGACACAAATACTTCTGAAAATAAACTCAGGGATCATAATCACGATTCACGGAATCGCACAGGAAGAAAAAAGAGCTGTTTCAAAGTTGAAACTGATCGAAGATATACTAACAAATATTATTTCAATATGCGAAAAAGATTGTTCAACAGTTTGAAGGAAGACGTTATTTGTGCTTTCATTGATTTCGAAAATTTCGTTTTCGGTTCATTCAATAAACTGACAGCCGACCTTTATTCCGATTAATTATAATGAATTCGCATACCATGGTCCGCTATGTGCCCGATCATCAATTCTCTCAAAAATCTTAAGTTTCCGTAGTAAAAAAGACTACTATTGAATGTCATTAATAGAAGTTCTGTTCTATTAGGTAAACGTGACGACCGTTGGTCACGACTCCCAAGAAGACCTAGAGTCGATGAGGATTTGAAGGGATCAAGACAAGAAAACGTTTGATTTGAGTATAGAAGAATGGCAGTCGGCGGTAACTTATTTTCTAGATGGGAGCGCGGGCGACGAGGCCGGCGGTGATGCGGCGTCCTCAGCGTCCGCGCCGTTCGCTCATCACAACTTAACGTGTATTCGTGGTATCACAGAACGTTTCGCATGCGTATCCGCAGGCGGGCGGGTCGCTACGACACCATGATGTGCGGCGCGGACAGCAGCACGGCTAGCGTGGCGATGATTGTGAACAGGGTAAAGATAATAAGGCACAGTCTGTCCACGACCATGGCGGCAAATTTCCAGTCGCGCGATATGTCCGCATCTTCGTCATCTTTGCGCATCTGAAAATAATATATATATACTCAGTTTATTTATAGGTATTACTAACTGACCGGGCAGACTTCGTAGTGCCTCAATTGATAAATAAAAGACCTAAGTTTTTGTGTAAAATAAACTTAAAACAAACAAAAGGAATCCGTCCGACGGGGGAGACGTCAAAGGAAAAGCAAAATTGTTATTTTTATTTAATTCTGAGTATTTTTTTTCATTGCTCTTGTAGGCAGACGAGCATACGGCCCACCTGATGGTGAGTGGTTACCGTCACCCTTGGACTTCAGCAATGCCAGGGGCAGAGCCAAGTCGCATCTACCTTTTAAACCTTCTCGGGATTTCCACAAATAATTCAAGAAGAAAATTAGCCAAATCGGTCCAGCCGTTCTCGAGTTTTAGCGAGACTAACCAACAGCAGTTCATTTTTATATGTATAGATAGCCCGCAAATTCTGTATGTCCCAGTTGACAATGCAGTTATCTGTTACCTGATCTGTGATGACTCGGATTTCTTTCAATATGAGCGACAGCTCGTAGTCGACACCGAAACAGCTGTGCGCCGCTAAGCCTGCTCCATTTTCTTCGCCCCCCCTGCAACGCACACAGCTCTGTAGTCGCCGTCCATAAATAAATTCTATCTACAGGTTCAAACAGGGAACGACGGGGAACTACAACTAAGCTAATGTAGAGATAATGTTACGATTTTTTTTGAACAAGAGTGCGACAGTCGATTTGAATATAAGACAATATATTATAATAGTAGTTCGATGAAAGCTTTAAAGGGTGTACTGTGGAGCGATCGGGGCGGGGTTGAATTATCGTAACCGTGCTATTTACGGCGAGTAGTGTTCGTGTAGATCGTCGAGGGACCTGTAGTAGCGGCAGCAGGGCGGCTGCTGCGATTGCGCGTGCCGGAAGTCGTCGTCGATGTCGAGCACGTTAGCGAGGAGTGACTTGGAGGAGCGCTCACGTAGCTCCAGGTCGGGAGGGGGGGGCGCTCGAGCCGGCGGCGGCGTCGTCGCCGAACCCGGCCTTGACATGCGCAGGATCCAAGGCAACCAGTACAGAAACACACACCGGATCTGAAAAACATCAAGCGTCGAGCACTTAACGAACACTAAAAGCGAAATGCACTGAATGCACCTTTTCCTTAATTTTTTTTTATTGCTTAGATGGGTGGACGAGCTCACAGCCCACCTGGTGTTAAGTGGTTACTGGAGCCCATAGACATCCACAACGTAAATGCGCCACCCATCTTGAGATATAAGTTCTAAAGTCTCAAGTGTAGTTACAACGGCTGCCCCACCCTTCAAACCGAAACGCATTACTGCTTCACGGCAGAAACAGGCAGGTTGGTGGTACACACCCGCGCGGACTCCCAAGAGGTCCTACCACCAATAATTACGCAAATTATAATTTAGCGGGTTTCATTTTTATTACACGATAATAAAGTAAAGTAATTGATTTCATAGTAATAGTATTTATTTATTTTTATTTATTTAATATATTTTGTACACACAGCTGTTAGAAGAAACACGACAATAAGGATACAGAGTACAAGGGCACTACTTATTTAATGTTGAAATCTCTTCCAGTAGGCCCGCAGAAGGAGAGAAAAATTAGGAACATAATATATATATACACTACTACCACCATACTATCTGGAGCCACCGCGGTCATCCACAGTGTGTTTCCAGAGGTCTTTTTACCAAGCACCATCCGGCTATGGAATGAGCTCTCCTCCACGGTGTTTCCCGAGCGCTATGACATGTCCATCTTCAAACGAGGCTTGTGGAGAGTATTAAGCGGTAGGCAGCGGCTTGGCTCTACCCCTGGCATTGCTGAAGTCCATGGGCGACGGTAACCACTCACCATCAGGTGGGCCGTATGCTCGTCTGCCGACAAGGGCAATAAAGAAAAAAAATAGTATTTTGAATTCACAGTATGAAAAGATTTACCCAGTCACTCATTTCATGCGTGTCTGCATGTCTGTGGTGATAATTCAGGATGAGTATAGTGGAGACCACGGAAGAGGCGACCATGAACATGATGCAGTTGAAGTAAGTACCGAGCAGAGGCACAGCGTCTGATGTTGCCGGCATCGTTTCGGCCACCATGTTCAGAAACACCGTCAACGACAATAGAATTGTGACACCTGAGAACGTAAAACAGAACACACTCTTAGAAAGTTAAACATTTAAATAATTAAGAATAATTTGCCCTCATAACAGATACAAATAGTAAATTTACAGAATATAAATGTCTGTATCTTCTTTCCTATTTTATTTATTTATTTATTTAAGGATTACCGACAGGGTTTACAGTAAGACATAAAATAACATTGACATGTATAGAGCAATTGATAACTGCAACTCTAATTAGAGGCAATCACAGCATGTATTACATTAATATATCAATAGAGATTTAACAATACTATTAATAATAATAATAAATTAAAAACAAAAGAAAGACAACAAGGACAGTAATACCCGAGTACTCAGACCAAGGCTGAGGCTGAGATTCAACAACAACTTTTTATAATTTTGTTCTTGAATATTGGAAGGGAATCACCAAATAGAGAGAGAGAGAGAGAGAGGGGGAATACACTTTATTGCACACCAAAACACAATTTACATTCATAAAACAATCAAAAAAGCAGATACATTTGTACAATAGGCGGTCTTATCGCTAAAAGCGAAAAAAAAACATCCAGACAACCGTTTAATTTACAGAAATTCTGGATAATATAAAAAACTCCAGGTCTCCTATTTCAATGGTTAACAATAGTAAGAAATTATTAGAAGTACTGAAAAAATTACCTAAAGATAGCTTTTCTCCAGAATCCGGTGGGAGTGTGAACCCGAGTAGCGCCATTGATGCGATTAAGACACACGGTACTATGAGATTGAAGAAATAGTATAACGTTTTTCGACGGATAACGACCGCGAATGTTATGTCTATGTACGGTTCTGGGCAGCAATTGTAATAGATTTCGTTCCGCTTGCCTGGTACTCCTGTTGTTAGAAAAGAAATACACAATTGTTTAATCTTCTACATAGTACAACTATCTATCTATCTATATATAAGAAAATGAATTGCTGTTCGTTAGTCTCGCCGAAACTCGAGAACGGCTGGACCGATTCGGCTAATTTTGGTTTTGAATTATTTGTGGAACTCCAGAGAAGGTTTAGAAGGTAGATCAATATGAAAATGCTCAGCATTAAATAAAAATAACAATTTAGTTTTTCCTTTGAAGAGTCTCCTGTCGGACGGATTCCTTTTGTTTGTTTTAAGTTTATTTTATACAAAAGTTTAGGTCTTTTACTTATCGATTGAGGCACTGCGAAGTCTGCCGGGTCAACTAGTTAATAATAAAATAATCCAAATGCTTTCTTTAGTCAAGTGAGCCAATACAGGCGTTATTTAACGTTGTCATGAGTACATGGCATCAACAGACCGAAATGATAATTTATTATAATTTTTTATTAACACTGGAATGTAGAAAGCTAATTTAAGAAAAAATAACTTCCGGATGCTTATTAATGTCGTGTTTATTTAGTAGTAAAAGGCTTACTTAAGAATAGAACTAAATATAAAGTATACATTAAAATACATATATTATATAAAAAATTACTATTAAAATATGTAGTATTTTCTTCCATTTCATGGAATGTAGAAAGTAATTATAATTGTGTCTAAATACGACGATATGATAGTGAAATGTGTCTGAAGTTTTTGTTAGGAGTTGAGAAGGTAGATTCTGTCTCTTTTCCGGGGAGCGAGTTTTAGTACGGAATATGAAGATTTAACGTCCTTATTGCGTTTATTATATTATGTCCATATGTACTACGTTCTCTCTAGTTGGGAATTAAAGGCTCACAAAAAACATATATATTTCTTGATCTTTTTTCGTGTTTTTTTATGATAAATGGTCAGAATAGTGGTATTGATCCTACCGGCTTGTATGATTGCAATTTAAGGGGTGCAACCAGGTCGTTCTGTATATTTTCATAAAAGCATTCTTATGTGGTAATACTACAATTTTTAGCGCTGCTGATGTAATGAAATCCAGCCTTCAAAGACTAATACTAAGTGTCTGATTTGAATAATTATCTTTACTTATAAATTAATTTAATAGAAACAACGCTTTTTATTTACATTTGACCAGAATTTAAATTCTAATTAAAATTTTAAAATGTATCGAGTTTCTTCATTAGATTCACTCATCTTGACAGTACGAAAAGTAAATTGAATTTGGAATTATCTTCTTTAAAATTTAAACTTTTAATATGATACCAAAACCAGCCAGATACAAATAGTATAGCCAAAGAGATTTTATTACAAGTTCATACATACTATAATGCGAAAAGACTTTTTCCCCAACCTATTATGTCGATCGTTACATGGAAAATATTTAGGGAGAGAACGAGTAACTTATATGAATGTTAAATGGAATAGTTATACAATGGAATATATTTTTGTACCAAACCGTGTTTAATTATTGTAAGAAGAGTAGAAAAATCCTTTTGTGTTATTAAATCATTAATAAATACAATACTAACCGATTAACTCCCACTCGCCATTCGTGACAAAACTGCTTATATCCCCACCCGCTTCATCTTGTAATTGAAGATCCAACTGTGAAATTTTATTTCATTAACTCTCAGAGATACATTCCCGATAATACGAATCTATTTAAAATACTTTAGCACTATTTTACTAATAAGCCCAGTGTAAAATCAACATGCGAATCTGCCTTTAATATGTTTATTAGTTATCAAATACATTTATCCTAAAATCAACATCACAGTGGAAATAAATCTGTTTCACCATATTCGTTGAATTAACAAAACAAACGTGTGGTGTCAGCCTAAAAGAGCACGGCTCCATATCTTCCCGTGTGTGTCGTAAAAGGCGACTAAAGGATTTGGCGGTATATGTATGGGAGCGTCCTCCGAGTATTACACCAACATACTTCCATCGTATTTAACGGTGGTAGGGTGTTCTGAATCCGCATGCAAATGCCAGCTCTCAGTTACACCCTACCAGTTAATTATAGGGCGTTTTGCCTCATCATTATCATTATCCTTGTCACCTGGGGTCGGAGAAACATGTTTTCTCCTTCCATACTCTTATACCATTTCTTCGCTCACTCCCCTCTTACCCATATCGTCTTTCACGCAATCCATCCATTTCTTCTTAGGTCTACCTCTTCCTCTTTATCCTTCCACATTCATAGTTAACATTCTCTAACCTTCCTCATTTTCATTTCGTCTTATCACATGTCCATACCATCCCAAACGCGCACTTTTCAGCTTCTCTGTCACAGCTGCCACTTTCAGACTTCCTCTAACATATTCATTCCGTATTCTATCCATTCTCGTTACTCCACACATCCATCGCAACATTCGCATCTCTGCTGCATGCAATCGCCTATTGTTCACATACATTTAATGTTGTAGCTAATAGTTACGTACTTGATAGCCGTCATATGTCCAACTGCCAAACTTCATTTCGCAGCGTTGGTCATCGAATGGAAACCACGTGATGTCTATTTTGCATGTGCTCTTGAATATGCCGGGTGGGACGTAAAGGCACGACCCGTTGTTCCGCACCACAACATTGGTTGGGTACGTGCTGTCGAAGCCTTCGTCCGCACTTTACAACAAGAAACAATACTCTTTTAGCAATAATCGATTACAAAACAATCACAAAAAAAATGTGAATACTTATAATAGTTGTCAATTATTTTAAAGCATCATCCAATTACAATAATGGTTTATATTTAATTTTCACTTTACTAAAAACAAAAAAAAAAAACTACAATAGTAACCAACCATTTCATCCGATGTGGCTATAATATTAACTTTTGGTATCTATTCTATGTTTAGCTTAGTAGTTGGGTTGTGTTTTCAATCATTTTTCGCAGCAATTTTCAAATAAAAATTGATCAGTATACTATTTTAGTAAGAATATTGATCGTAGATAGTATCAGAAGTTTTAAAAATGAATTTACTGCGGAGATATTAGTCCAAATCTTTGTTTTTATTTAAAAATTCGTTACAAATAATTGTGCAAGTGTTAAGTCAAAATCGAATTTTACACGTTTCTTAAAATAGAATCTTAGAATTTTGTAATTACATATTATGATAAAAATTCATACAATAATTACGAATTAAAGTATGAGGCAAATTTAGTTGTACTAATAATTACCTGTTGTACATAAGAACATCTGGTTTCCATAGTCTGTGAGGTGGTACTCTTAAATCTTTAACTCCGCCGAAATCTGAAGTGTTCCACCTCAAATTCATATCATTCCATTCCTGACGAAATTGTTTTATATGTTAACGTTTCCTTTTTATTGTTTTCATTTAATATGTGTTAAATAAGCGAGTGCGAGTTATTACAGTGTGTGGTAATGAATAAAATAAGTTGTGGCTAGTTATTTCTTGTTTTAGTGATTATTTTGGTTAAGGTTTATCGTAAAAGCTATAATTTTATACTTACTAATTTGAGCCAAATGTTTGTTATCAAAAGCTGGTTCTTTTCATCCTGTGGAATTAGCAAAAACATAATACGTTTATAAGAGCTAAATTTAATTACTGTATGAAGCCGAACTTTTTTCTAGGGTTGTCGCGAATACGACTAAAAATATTTTAATTGTTGTAAATTATGTTTATCTCCCAATTTGATGTACGAAGGAACCGATAATTTAAAAAAAAGTCACATATTGTTAAAAGAGCGTTAGGCGACTGCTTGATTGTGCTGGTGTCCGTGAGCGACGATGACTGATTACTACGGGCCGTAAGCTCATTGTTTTAAAAACATAATATACACACGATTTATGTGTGAATATTCAACCGTATCATTATTCAAAATACGTGAATTACAAAAAGTGTTCGAACAAGTACATATATTAAAGTGTGTTTTTAAAATATACATTAAAACAATTAAAATGACAATTGGTCCCTCCGGAATCCGGTTACTGCACTGTTGAAGGTTTATCAAGATTCAGAGAAATGTAATGATATCTATGGAATTCGATAACTAATTAATAAATGAGCTCATTGACCTATCGATAGACTGAAAGTTTTCTTTATTTATATTTTATTGCTTAATTGGGTGGACAAGCTCACAACCCAACAAAACAAGGTTGTTAAGTGGTTACTGGAGCCCATAGATATCTACAACGTAAATGCGCCACCCACCTTGAGATATAAGTTCTGAGGTCTCAGTATAGTTTACTGGTGGTAGGACCTCTTGTGAGTTCGCACGAGTAGGCACGAGTACCAGTACCCTGCCTATTTCTGCCGTGAAGCAGTAATGCGTTTCGGTTTGAAGGGTGACGCAGCCGTTGTAACTATACTGAAGTTTTAAGTAATTCGTATAGTAAGTCTTAAATATACCACGTCAATGATCTGCATGAGCGTGAGGCCGAAGGACAGCTGCAGCGGGTCGCTCTCGTTGACCACAGGGCGCTCCAGCACGTTGTAGTGGTCCAGCAGATGGTGCAACAACCGCTTCTCGTGGTGACCGCCGCACACCCCTATTAAGAATAATTGAGAGAATCGAATAATAATCAAATAATAATCGAATAATAATCGAATAATAATCGAAAAGAAACTTTGGAATCACAGTAGGTATTTAACGTTTTTAAGTTGCAATGAAAGTTTCACGAGGCACGTGTTTCATCTCTTTCCTAGCTGCTACCCAAGGAACGTCGTTATTTGATTTTGTTTGTATTGAAAACAAATTTAAAAAATGATGTGTTGATTTGTTTTTTTTATGAAAAATAATTTCGGCTTACCAATGAAGATTCCAAATCGATCTACATTAAAATACTTGATGAGCAAGAATTAACTAATGCATGTTTTAAATACATTTTGAATATTCAAATTTAATTTTTTTATTTGTTAGACATAATTTTATTTACTTCAACATTAATAACATATATTTAATTATTAAGCTTATCTAAGCTAAATGCTCAAATTTGCTTGTACAAAATAACATTAAATTTGTAATTTCCCATCTATGTATAAAGGTGGGAAAAGTAAATAGCTCGACGAAATGGTCACAAAACCTTGGAATGAAACATGGCGCTTGAGGCACGTAAATTGCATTTGCAGGTCACGTGGTCACAATATTTAAGAAATGTGCATAAAATTATGATCGATATTTTCCATTGCAAAAAATCGGATAATTAGTAAATAATGTTATTTGTTATTTAACGAATTGCGAGTAAAGAATTTAAAGGCAAACCTTGAAATCATTTCAAAACGGATCGTCTAAAAATATCCATTCGATAGAACAGATTGTCTTTAGCGATGTTGTCATCTTGCTTTACTAATGATCAAATTTCGGTAGTAGGTAAATAATTTAACTAACAAAAATTGTTGTTTTAAATTTTAGTTCTTTCGTCAGTTATATTATCTGATAGCTAATTATTTACTGTTGATTGTAAAATTAAGGAGAATGCATATCGACGCTTGAAAGGCAAACGTGACTAAGCGACAATGCGTGAACTTTACAATAGACTAATTTAAAGTTGAAATACCTGAAAAAATTTATATTTTAACGAATGTACCCAGAAATATATATTTTTTGCGCATCGAATATGATTATTGCCTATCATTTATGTATAAAGCAGTTATTGTCGCTTAGTCACGTTTGCCTTTCAAGCGTCGATATGCATTCTCCTTAATTTCACAATCAACAGTAAATAATTAGCAATAATAATATAATAATTAGCAATAATAGTAGACAGCGGCTTGGCTCTGCTCCTGGCATTGCTGAAGTCCATGGGCGACGGTAACCACATACCATCAGGTAGGCCGTACGCTCGTCTGCCTACAAAGGCAATAAAAAAAAATTACCCCTCGGCCACAGCAGGCCCAGCAGTAGTAGCAGAAGGCCTGCGGGCGCCGCCAGTAGCGAGCAGCGCGCCCGCCCGCCCATGTCAGCGCCGCGACGCCGCCGCGCCGCGCGCTCCCGACGACGTCGCCTCGCCGCGCCGCGCCATCACCCGACCCTCGCGACACCGACCCCCGCCTCCCTACGCCGCACTCTCGTCACTCTATTCTGATCTATTGAGCCTGATGTCTTATCTTTACTAAATTTTTGTGTTATTCATAAATAAAACTGTGTTTAGGAACGGTCGCCGACGGCAACGAGTGCCGTCCTGTGCTTTAGCATCGCCAAACGGAGCGCGGCTATGTTCCTCGAGTTACGGCGTGTTTTTGAGCATTGTTGTTTGACGGAGTGCGGTCGACCGTGGGGCAGCGGAGCCGCCGGTGTGCGGACTGGCGGAGACAACGAGGGCGCGCAGTCGCGTCACCCCGCCCATTCAAACGCCGCACCGCGCGCCCTCGCTGCACACCGACCTTGTGTTCATCACAGTTCAGCTTCAGATCCTCGCTGTACCATCCTTTATACAAATGCACANGTTTTTGAGCATTGTTGTTTGACGGAGTGCGGTCGACCGTGGGGCAGCGGAGCCGCCGGTGTGCGGACTGGCGGAGACAACGAGGGCGCGCAGTCGCGTCACCCCGCCCATTCAAACGCCGCACCGCGCGCCCTCGCTGCACACCGACCTTGTGTTCATCACAGTTCAGCTTCAGATCCTCGCTGTACCATCCTTTATACAAATGCACAATAGACAATTATTTTTACAGTGTTTTTAATCGAAATTCATGCTGGGAAAATAATTCTTTTTTTTCTCTGTACTATTTATTATAATAAAATCATTGTACTAAATTGAAAGCTTTTTTATCTTTATTTTTTTTTACCTTTTTTGTTTAGATTTTTAGTAGCTTAGCTTAAGCAATATCAATTTTAATAATACGCAGAGTTCAATTAATTACATATACGCTTCATCGGATGTATGTAATTCATTATCTATCTAAAAATAACAGTTCAACATTTAAAGTCTAAAACGCATTACATATAGCTCAAATATGAGATATCGGTTTCCGGAGGGATTCTATATTACCAAAATCTTCTGTGAAGTTTGTAAATCGTAAAGGTGCGAGTGAGTGGTAACGATGAAAGCGCGGCGATGCGGAGGTTGCGGGGTTGCGGCGCAGTATAGCGCGCGGGGATGCTGCGCTCGGTGCGATCAATGAAGCACCTACAGCCTCTCGCTCCCTCCGCGCACCCTCGTCTACCTAGAACCGATAACCGCCAAATCGAACATTACCCCTTACAATTTTACATTAACTATAATTGAATATGCAATTTCGAAAAGGGCACATCTCTGAAAATGTAAAATGTTCAGGAAATGAAAAAAAACTGATTATTTTCTAAAGCAGTGTAAAATTTAAAATATTAACTTTTGAGATATAATTTAGTGTTAATTAGCAATTGAAAATTACTGGAATTATTATAAAATGGGTAAAAAGCCTCAAAACTACGTACTACTATATGAAAAAACGCATTTGACAAAATATGCGACATGTGCCTTTTTCGAAATTGCATATTCAATTATTATTCAGTTGCTCATCGTGAATATGAAATAGATCAGAATCACGAAAAAATCAGACATTTAAAACGTTACTAGACTAGCGTTTTAACTAATCTCACCCATTATTTTTTCTTTTGCAGTTTTACTAGACAGCGGTCTAATTAATTATTTAATTTTAAACATAAATGCAATAAATTGTTTTTAGTTAATTTAATTTAGTCATATCGTTTTATAAATTATTAAAGACATTTTAATAAAGCAACTCTATGAAAGTGTCGTAAAATCTGTAATTCGTTTAAGCTGCGCTGAAAAACTGGATGATGGATTTATGATGATTCATTTAATGTAAAGCAGCTTCTGTTGTATACGAAAATTTATTAGTGGATGTCGTGAAAAATATTGAGGTGTGTTATTATTATACCTGCTATAGTTATTAAAATCTTATTAATCATACAATATTTAAAAAAAATCATTAGTAGTAAAATTTAATAAATTTAATTGTTATTATCATTTTATTTAAGTATGTAAAATGTTTGTTCTGATTTTCTGGCTATAAATATTACTATAATAGTATGTAGTCGGCAATGCGGTTTTAACTTCGTGAGAGCTTTAAATTAGAAAAGTTGAAGGTGATCTTTAAGAATTACGTTCAACGTTTTTTCTAAAGTTAACTTGAAATCTATTAGCTAAATTTTTTATGAGAAGGTTTCTATTGATAGCTATTTTCAAATAAGATGCTTAATGGTTTTTATTATATCTTAAATGATAGAAACTTCGCTTTTATAATTTCGTATAGGTATGATTATAATCAGTCGTTTTTGATTCGTACTTACTGGACACGTAACATTGATATCACTACATAGTATAAACCAAAGTCGCTTTCTCTGTCCCTATATCTGTCCCTATGTATGCTTAAATCTTTAAAACTACGCAACGGATTTTGATGTGGTTTTTTTAATAGATTGAGTGATTGAAGAGGAAGGTTTATATGTATGTCGTGGATAGCGACTTGTAGTTGTCGTGGATAACGACTTTTAGTAATATTAAGACGGTGGTTTTGATTATTATTTTAAATGATGAAATGTTATTTTGTTAGATATCACAAAATGAAGGGTAGACTCCGTAACGCCACAGTATAAAATGGCGGTACGTGGACAGAGTCGTGGCATTCGTGTCAGATAGTGATTCCGTCCGTCTCAGCAGCGAGTCTCTGACAGTCAGTCAGTCAGTCAGTCAGTCAGTCGGTCTGTCGGTATGTGCAACGAAACTGTCGTTTTATCCTGTCATTGTGAAAGTTGTGTGTGTTGAGTTTCAATAATTATTATTGAAAAGTTTTATTGACTAAACTGAGTTCAATCGAATACGAGTGATGACGAAACTACCGCTCAGCCATCCCTGACGTGTACCAACATGTTTAATATCTATTAAATACTGGAGAAATCAATAATAAATTACAGTTTCCGAAGCGAAGCGAGGGCGGGTCGCTAGTATTCTGATAAAGCTCGTACTGATTTTATGATAATAACCGAAGGTTGGTAGACTACTTTAGAATACTTTACTTTACAACAGTATTCCCCATACTATTGTAAAGTAAAATTGGCTGATGATCCACCTTGAAAGTTCTAGAAGATAAAAGAAAAATATAGCACATATACTCTCAATAATAAATGTCTTCGGTCATGGATTGAGTTGCCTGTCCTCTAACACTATCGTAAACAACACGCGAGTGGCGCTTGGAGATTTTCACGATGTTAAAATGTACGTAAAATGCAGGTATTTTAAATATCCGATAAGTCCAAGTCATAAAGGATCTAGGTATATAGATTTCATCTGATTAGTGAGCAGTGCAATTGCAAATGTGTATAATTATGTAAAAAAAATCATAGATAGGAAGAAAGCGAACGAGGCGTGCCCGTGCCTAATGTCGCAGAAATTGATAATGAAGGGTGTTTGCTCATTACCGCAACCACTTTACGCTTCTGTGCGTGCGGCTGCGTCCATGCTCTACGTACAAAATAACTATGTTTGCATAGCTTTCTTCATATAATAAACCTACTACATTTCTTTTAGCTAATATACTGTTAATATATACATATAAATAAAATAGGAGTGTATGTTTGTAATATTGAAATAGCCTCTTTTTACTACATGCATATGAATATACTTAGTCTGGCTATAAATACTGTTACAATTAAAAATAAACAAAATATTACATTTGAATTTGGAATCTGTAATTTTTATATGATTGCTCATTGAGTTTTCTCATTTTGGCGCCAACACATTGTACAATATTTTGCGATATTAAAATGGAGTGGGGTGATAAAGAGTAGGTATGGAGCCAAATGCAATTTTTAAAACTCTCCATACGCTTGGTATTAGTAAAATGTTTGTGTACAGGGCTATTAATAGATGCAATGAGACCTCCTCTGTTTGTGACAGAAAAAGATCTGGCCGTCCACGTAGTGTTCGTACGAAAAAGGTGGTCAAAGCAGTAAGGGTAAGAATTCGAAGAAAACCTGTCCGAAAGCAAAAAAAATTATCTCGGGAGATGAAGATAGCACCAGGAACCATGTCGCGTATTTTAAAAGATGACTTAGGACTTGCAGCCTGTAAGAGACGTACTGGTCATTTCTTAACTGATGAAGCGGTACGCAAAGGGAGGTCATAGATTTTTTTTGTTTACGGATGAGAATTTTTTTACAATTGAGCAACATATTAACAAACTAAATGACCGTATTTATGCTCAAAGCTCTAAGGAAGTTCCCAATTAGTCGACAGAGTGCAACGTGGGCACTATCCGACTTCAGTGATGGTTTGGTGGGGTATTAGCTATGAAGGAGTGACTTAGCCATACTTTTGTGAAAAAGGTATCAAAACATCGGCACAAGTGTATCAAGACACCATTCTTGAGAAGATAGTGATGCCCCTTAACAGCACCATGTTTAATAATCAAGAATGGTCCTTCCAGCAAGACTCGGCGCCAGGTCATAAAGCTCGGTCTACGCAGTCTTGGTTGGAAACGAACGTTTCGGACTTCATCAGAGCTGAAGACTGGCCGTCGTCTAGTCCCGATCTTAATCCGCTGGATTATGATTTATGGTCAGTTTTAGAGAGTACGGCTTGCTCTAAACGCCATGATAANCTCGGTCTACGCAGTCTTGGTTGGAAACGAACGTTTCGGACTTCATCAGAGCTGAAGACTGGCCGTCGTCTAGTCCCGATCTTAATCCGCTGGATTATGATTTATGGTCAGTTTTAGAGAGTACGGCTTGCTCTAAACGCCATGATAATTTGGAGTCCCTAAAACAATCCGTACGATTGGCAGTGAAAATTTTTCCCATGGAAAGAGTTCGTGCTTCTATTGTTAACTGGCCTCAACGTTTAAAGGACTGTATTGCAGCCAATGGAGACCACTTCGAATAAGCTTTTTATACTTTAAATTGTCTTAAATTTATGTATTAAACTAACACACTGTAAAATTAATAAATGTTATTTGCAATCGATTTTTTTTCCTTTGTTTTAGTATTTATGGCAAGACTACACCAAAATAACATTTTTTACAATTTTTGTCTGTCTCTCTGTTTGTTTCGGCTAATCTCTGGAACAGCTGAACCGATTTTGACGGGACTTTCACTGATAGGTAGCTGATGATATAAGGAGTAACTTAGGCTACTTTTTTAGACTAGCTTCGTCCCGCGGCTTCAACCGCGGTACGACAATAACTGCGTGTAGCATCGCGGGACTCAGCTATCAATAATAAAATTTAATGTTTCCGGAGCGAAGCGAGGGCGGGTCGCTAGTATAAATAATAAGACTCCCCCTTCAATACAACTATTCAATATGAATAAGTGTATTCACTTTTATTTATATTATTTTTTCATAATTTCAAAAGAAAACCGCAAGATATTTATTACTCACCGCAATTTTTGTAATATTCA